CACTGGTTTCTAAAGCTTCTACCCACGGGGGTCACACGGCGCTTCCGCCCTCTTTCCTTATCGGAGGCAAGTGGCTTGGCCGCTACTGAATTCGAAAGGGCGGGAATGTGCAACCTCCCCACGGGGAAGGCAAAGGGACAATCTACCATTCGGAGTTTGTGAAAAAGGAGCGGAGGGGCTCAGAAGAGGCCTGAGTGGCCTGGAGAGCCCAGCACGAGGCTGTTTCTAGAAAGACAGCCCGAAACCACACCCAGAACTGAGCTGACGGCCGCTGAGCGAGCCAAATCTTAGGCGCCCCTGTTTGCGTTGCCGCCGGGACCGTGGCTGCTCCTGCCCCCAGCATCCGTGTCACTTCTGTGTCTGCCACCATCCATCCACCGGGAGTCAGACGGTGCCTGTCCCACCGTCCTCGCCTCCTTCCGAATTCAAGACTCGTGCTCGTGAGTCTGTCTGGTGGCACCTGAGTCACGTGTCTGGGCCCTGGAGGGAAAGGAGGCTGGGAAAGCGAGTTTCCCTCTGGAGGACGGGGGACTCTCCAGGCTGGAAATCCCCCTAGACGTCATGAGCGTGTTCAGCAGCCAGAAATACGAGAAATATCCTCCACATTCTCACGTCGCAGATGAAAAACTGAGGTCCAGAGGGATCTGAGTTGGGACGAGAAGTTACCACCAACTCAGGGGCTGAAAACATCATTTATGCTCTTCCGGTTCTGGAGGCCAGAGGTCAAGCCAAGGTGACGGCAGGCCCGCTGTCCTGCTGGAGGCCGTCGGGGATGGTCCATGTCCTTGCCGTCTCCAGCTCCCAGGGGCCGCCCGCATTCCTTGGCTCGTGGCCTCTTCCTCGCGTCGCTTCCACGGCTCGCTCCCCTTGCTGCAGCTCCTGGATGTTGACTGGAGTCTTGTCTCCCTCTGCCCCTCTCTTCTAAGGAGCCTTGTGACCACACGCAGGGCCCCCCCAGATACGCCAGGAGAATGTCCCCCTCTTAAGATCTTGAGCTTAAGTCCATCTGTCAAGTCCCTTTTGCCACGAAAGGGAACAGTGTCACACATTCTGAGGATCAGGATGTGGACGTCTTGGGGGCCGTTACTCAGCCGACCACTGTGCCCACCAGCCTGGTCTCCTGGGATTGCGTCCTCTGGACCCCGGGAGGGCTCGGCCACTGGAGGCACTGGGGGGAGGTCGGGGGTCCGCCGGGCAGCTCCCACCGAGCTGGGCACCCTGGGGGTGCTGAATGCCGGCACCGAAGCCGCAGCTCTGGAGGGGCAGCCCCCCCTCCAGATTCCAGAAGTCACCCGCGTCCTGCCGTGTCTTGCTACAGACCCTTGCCCTCACAGCTCCCATCCGGACCCCCACCTCCTGCCCTTTGATCGGCATGTGCCCCGCACTGCGCTGAGAGCCCCGGAGAGCAGGGCTCAGGGACATTTTGGTCCCTGCGGCGTCCCCGGCATAGCACCAGCCACACAGCAGGCGGGCAATGGAGAGAAGGAATTAGAGAACCCCGGGGAGGCGCTGGGCAGAGAGGAACCGACATTGCCCTCGGCCGTTTCTTCTCCCCCGGGTTTGGGGATCTAACAACTGGGACTCAAGTGGCAAAGCAGGTCGGTGGCGGGTCTGCGTTTCTCCGTCCTTCTGAGGCTGTTTGTTCCAGGGTGGCGACTGCCGGGTGTGTGTGTGAGAGAGAGAATGTGACATATGAAAGGGAGCAAGCAAGCTGGGGATACCCACAAAGTATATTTCCATCCATGAGCCCTTCCTGTGAGCCAGGTATTATTCTGAAATAGAAATGTAAATACAACAGCCCAGTGAAGTAAGTAGCATTCGTCCCCATTTTTGTCCCATGATTATTATTGTCCCCCTTTGCTAGACGAGGGAGCTGAGACACCGAGAAAGCACATCATTGTGCCGTGTCATCGTTTAAATGCCTCCCAGGCTGACTCCCTCGGGACTCTTTGCATCCAGGTGAGAAGCGTGAGGTTTGGGATGGGATGACGGGACATCTGTGTGTCCCCCTTCTCGTCCACGTCCCCAGCTCTGGATATGCCCCTCTTTGAAGCCGAGCCCTTACGCATCTCCCAGCCACATCTTCCTGCCTCTATAGTGCCCTCCTTGCTCACGCCTGCTAAGACAGGGGCGTTCTTGTCCCATTCTGCAGCCGGACCTCATCCTCCTCCCGGGCTGCGAGACTTCAGGCAGGTTGCTTTCCCTCTCGGAGCCTCCGTCTGCTCCCCTCGGGGACGGGGCGATTCCTGGGACCGGTGGTGGACTGAACAGGGCTGTGCCTAGGCAAGCCCAGCACAGGTGCCAGCTGCTGGGGGCACTGTTCTCTGGGACGTCAGACCTCAAATGCTCCCTGATGCCCTTGCACGCCGTGCTGGGGGTTCATGCCCTTTTCTCACACTACACGCCCTCTGGGCAGCTGCGCCTCCTCTCGTGGCTTCGTGACACCTCACGGCCAACAAATCTCAAATCTCTCGCAAGTGCAGCCCCATCTCCTGAGCTCCAGAGGTCCCTTCCCTGACATCTCTGGATGTCCCAGAGGGTTCTCACCCTCGGCATGTCTTCACCCGGATCCCGCATATTCTCCAAACCTGTTCTTCCTACTTATCCCCTCTTGGTTCCCCAAGCCCAGGAGAGACCTCACTGTCTGTGCTGGAAATTCGCTCCCCACCCCCTTCCCAGATCCAGTCTCCCACCTCCCCCTCCCGCTCTGAGCCCCAGAGGCTGACCTGTATGCCCTATGCCTTATGCCAATGACCTCTGGCTTCTGGTGGAGTTCCTGCAGGGGGAGGCACCAGCAGGAGGCTGGGGATGGGGGGAGAGTAAGGATGGGGCGCTCAGTCTCCAGCCCCCTCCTCTCTCGGGCGTGGTGGGCGGGGCCTGCCCCCCTCTCCGCCAAAGCTGCAAAGCTACAAGGCTTGGCCGTCCAGGTAGCGATCGGCTCACACCTGCAAGCTCGGGCAGCTCCCTCTACCGCTAGCCCCGGGTACTGCGCCTCCCCGCCTTTGTTCTCCCGGGCCCCGCCCACCCCTTAAGCGCTTGCTTTTTTTCTTTGGTGATTGTGCCAGTCTTCCTCTATTTTGTATGTGGGACCCGCCACAGCATGGCTTGAGAGAGGCGTGTAAGCCCACCCCCGGGATCCGAACCCACGAACCCGGCCACCTTCCCCACTCTGACCCGGGCAGGCCCCAATAGGGCTTTCTCTAAACTCTCCCAGGCTGCTCCACTCCAGTGCACGACTTCAGTCCTGCCAGGGCCCTGCCCATCTCCAGGCCTCCAGTCTCGCAGGCAGCCAGAAGGAACGGTTGAAAATGTCAATCAGGCGGTATCAACGGCCCCGGCCCCCTCCCCCCTCATTTAAATCCTTCCAAAGCTCCGCTTTGCTCTTAGGGTAACTCTCAAGCTCCCTAGGGTGGCTGACGAGGTGTCTTGAGCTCTCACTCCCCACCCGCCCTGCACCCCACAATCCACTCACGCTAACCATTTGCAGGAATATGAAAGGCCGGTAACTCACGGGTCTGCACGCCTCTACAAAGGCTGTGCCGTGCGTCTGGAGTCACACACACTCACACACACACACCCCTCCTCCTATGTCAGGATTCTGAGAAAGGTACTCGCTTTATTCAGGAGACTCCCATCCACCCCAGCTCTCCTGCTCCGGCAAATTCGGGCCTTCCTTTTTTGTGTTCCCAGGAGGCCGGATGGAGAGGAATAATTTGTGGCTGACGGAATGTGGGCGGGGCTGGGGAAGATCCCGGGAGATGACTGGGGGCGTGGCCAGGACGCTCCCGGGCTACGGTGGGGGCGGGGCTAGGACGACCCTGGGCGATGGTGGGGGCGCGGCTAGAGAAGCTCCTAGGAGATAAGTGGAGCATAAGATAAGGCTCCTGTGTGACGAGTGAGGCCATGGCAAGGGTATGCTTCTGGGTGACAGGTGGAGGGGGCGGCCACGAAGTTCCTGGGTGATGATGTGGCGGGGCTAGGGAAGCTCCTGGGTGACGAGTCGGGGCGTGGCCGAGGAACCTACTCGGTACTAAATGGGGCGTGGCTAAGGAAGCTCCTGGGTGATGGTGGGGGCGTGGCCAGGAGGTTCCCGGGTGATGGTGGGGGCGTGGCCAGGAAGCTCCCGGATGATGATGGGGGCTTTCCTAGGGGAAACTCCCGGGTGATGGGCGGGGACGTGGCCGGAGAGCATGACCAGGAGAAGCTCATTTGGACGTTTAGTGCAGCTGGTGCATGTGAGTGTAACCTGCAGCGGACTGGGGGCATGGAAATACCCAGATTACTTGGTCTATTTCACAGCTGCCCAAATCTCAGTCAGAGACCTCACTAGCTCCCTCCTCCTGAATCCCAGCTTCCCACGGGCAGGCTGTTGTTCAGGCAGAATTTCAAAGTTTTATGGCAACTTTTACAGAAATCACAGAGAAAAGAGACAGCGACTGGTGCTGATGAGCTAGGAGTAGAGGGGAGAGTGGGTAACAGGTCCGGGATGTTGAGGTGATGCACAACAGGACGATAGAACGCTAAAAACCTGTGGGAAGTAGGGTGTTACAGGGGTTGCAGGGTCATCCTCAGGGTCCCAAGAAGTGGGCAGCACTCCCCATACCCCGAGTGTGTCCTTTAGGCAGGAAACATCAACAGTAAGAAAATGCCGATGGCCTACCGACAGACGGGTGGCCTCCAAAGTTAAAAATGCCCACCCAGACCCTCTGGCCCCAGTCCCACCCTCCCACCCAACCCTGCTCCCCATCAGGCAGAGATGTGGCAGCATTTGCTGGCTTGTAGCATTGGTCCTCTGGGACCCTCGGTCTCCTCTTCGAGGGTCCTGCCCGGATTGGCTGGCACTGAGGGCAAAATGAGCCTTCTAGATTGTCAGGGGAGATCGGCTGGGCTCCCTTTTTCATTCCTGGCCTCCTCCCCAAAGCTGATTCTCATGGCCGGGGGAGTCTGCTGCCCTCTCAGAAAGAAAGTCTGTCACCCCCCCCTTCCCCAAGACATGCACCCTCCCGAAACCCCCCTCCCCCAAACACACTATATACACACACACAGGCCACCCCCCTCCAAGGCGTGGCTGGGCTCTCGGAGGCAGTGGAGGCCAGTAGGGGCGCTGGAATGTGAGAAGTTGCAGGTTCCAATTCGCCTCCTCCAGCTCTGAAACCCCCAATTCTCCCCTCCCTTCTCCAAGCCTCGAGAATGAGGGTCCTCCAAGGGTCTGAGCCGAGAAATCAGGGAAGGTGTGCCCCTCCTCTAGGCCCACCTGTTCCTCCCCCAAACCCGGACAGAACGGAGCGCCCTTAGGGCGGGGCGAAGGGCTGAGATGTGTGACATCCGGGGATGGCTCAGCCTCCTTCAAGAGCCCCCCTGGGGGAGGGCTACGTTCTGAGGCCCCAGGGGCACAGGTCCGCGGTGGGGGGTCTTCTAGAGGAATGGGGTCTTAAGGGATGGAGCGGGGCTGGGTGTCTGGGCTGAGATGACATTCTCTAGAGGGTCGCTGGGGGGAGGTCCTCAGGGGAGGGGCCTCGAGCTGGAAATTTCCCCAGGGGTGTAGACAGCAGCGAACAAGGATGGGCTGCCTGGCGAGGCTCCCAAGGGGAAGGGAGGAGGCTGTTGGTGGGGACAGAGGACGGCGGGAGATGGGTTCCCAGGAGGAAGGGAGGCCGCGTCCCAGGAGAGGAGGCTGACTCTGGAGGCCACTGGAGGCGGGCGGGTGGGCAGCAGGTGCAGCGGTCTCCAGGGGGCGGCCCTAGAAGCCCCGGATGTGGCAGTAAGCCTCGAGGCTGGCGAAGAGAATATAGAGGAACCAGAGGCCCAGGAAGAGCGCGGTGGTGGCGAGCTTGGGGCCGCGCGGGCCGCCCAGCTCGCCGCCGATGTGCGGCCGGCGCCGGTAGAGCAGCACGGCGATGCCCACGAAGGCGAAGACGGTGAAGAGCGTGACGGAGAAGGCCAGCGTGCCGGTGCGCACCTCGAAGGGGCGGCCCTGCACCGCCCAGTACACGGCGGCCACCGACCAGGCCACGCCGAGCCCCAGGAACACGTTCACCGCGTTCGAGCCCGTCACGTTGCCGATGGACGCGTCCGCGCACTGGTCCTGCAGCGCCGCCACCTTGCTGGCGAACGTGTCTGCGGGGACAGCGACGCGGCCGTCATGGGGGGGCCCCAGAGCAGGGATGCCGCCGGCCTGGCCCGGCGCCTGCTTTCCGTAAGACCCAACGCCACCCCCAGGGTCCAGACCCCCGTGTAGGGCAGGCCCCCTCCACGCCTGGAGCTCTGTGCAGGCGGGGCTCGAGGCCCTGGGCCCCACCCAAGAGGCACGGCTGGTCACGCTCCCTGTGCCTTCTCTCCCTGGGACCCGCTGCCCTATTTCTGTGGGACTCAATGTCTGCTTTCTCCGGGACATGTCTGCATTCAGTGGGACGCACTACCTATTTTCTAGGAGACTCACGGCCATTTTCTATGGGACATGTGACCTACTTTCCGTGGGACCCATTGCCCATATTCTGTGAAATGGGCTGCCTATTTTCTATAGGACTCGCTGCCTGCTTTCTATAGAACTCACTGCCTGCCCTCCGTGGGACTCGCTGCCCGCTTTCTCTAGAACCCACTGCCTGCTTTCTGTGGGACTCGCTGCCTGCTTTCTATAGAACTCACTGCCTTCTCTCTGTGGGACTCGCTGCCTGCTTTCTATAGAACCCACTGCCTGCTTTCTGTGGGACTCACTGCCTGCTTTCTCTAGAACCCACTGCCTGCTCTCCATGGGACTCGCTGCCTGCTCTCTCTAGAACCCACTGCCTGCTTTCTGTGGGACTCGCTGCCTGATTTTCTGGGAGTCAATCTCTGCATTCTATGGGGCCTGCTGCCTACTTTCTATGGCACTCGCTGCCTGCTTTCGATGGGAATCACAATCTGCTTCCCATGAACCCACTGCTTGTTCTTCTAGGCGCCCATCCTCCTCTTGCCACCTGGCTGGACAAAACAGAAGGGCTAAGCCCCAGGCACATGCACACCTTTCCTGTCAATTCCCCCCTGAGTTGCTATCAAGCAAACAACAGCCTGGCTTCTCTGGCCGCCACCCATCCCTGAACATTGTGCTAGTAACTCAAGTCTCTCGTATGGGAGGCAGGCCTCAGAAGGCCCTTCACCAGCTCTCTACAGGACCCGCCGTCGGCCCTCCATCTGGGCCTCCAGCCCACCGCCCGACTGGGGGACACACTGATGAGAAAACAAAGGCATCAGCTCCCCACACCCCTGTCTCTTCAATGCCCTGCCACCTGCTTTCTATGGAATCCCTCGTCTGCTTTCTACGTGTCCCACCACTTTAGTTCTATGGGACGTTCCACCCAGTTGCTTTGGGGAGGATTCAATCCACATATTGAATTTATGGGCTCCCCCGCCTAGTTTCTATTTTGCCACTGCCATATTTCTATGGGACCCAGCCTATGGGTTCTGGATGACTCCACCACCTTATTTCAGTAGGACCTTTCTCAGGCTCTATGGCTGGCTTCTCTGAGGCCCCACCCCAACAAGCGGTCTCCTGGGGGGTGTTACCGGGGATGGAGGTGCCCAGGGCCACGAAGACGACGGCGTTGACGGAATCCTTGAGGCCAACGGTGCAGCCGAAGTGGGAGGCGAGGTCCCCAATGAGGGCGGTGAGCAGGCCAATGACCAGGATGCAGACGCCGAAGCAGGCCCAGCCGTGGCAGTACTCGGTGGGGGGCACGCAGGCGAACAGCACCTTCCAGAACACCGTCAGGAAGTGCATGACGTAGTCAAAGCAGGACGGCAGCCGCTCCTCCCGGGACCCGTCCTCCTCCTCCTCCTCGTCCCCTGTGGGCACACGACCCAGCTGGGGACACACCCATGCCTCCTTCCTCGCCTACGGAGCCCCCATCTCGTTCACCTTCCAGACCGTGAGTCCCATAAAACTGTTTTCCCAGAATCCCTTGCAGCTAGGAGACTGTAGGGGTCCAGGCAAAAATATTCACTTTCCCAGAATCCCTTGCAGTGAAAGAAGGCCATATGCCCAGCCAAAAATATCCAGCTTCCCAGTTTCCCTTGCGCCTAAGGAAGGCCATATCCGTAGCTAAAAATATTCCTTTTTCCAGAAGCCTTTACAGCTACCCACAACCATGACCTCAGCTAGAAATATTGCCCTTCTCTGATTTATTGCAGGTAACAGTAGCCACCTGCTCAGCTAAAGACTCACTTTCCCAGAATCCCTTGCAGCTAGAGAGAGCCACACACCCAGCTAACATCAGTCACTTTCCCAGAATCCCTTGCTGCTGGAGAAGGCCACACACTCAGCTAACAGTCACTTTCCCAAAATCCCTTGCAGCTGGAGAAGGCCACACACCCAGCTAACATCAGTCACTTTCCCAGAATCCCTTGTGGCTGGAGAAAGCCACACACCCAGCTAACATCAGTCACTTTCCCAGAATCCCTTGCAGCTGGAGAAGGCCACACACTCAGCTAACAGTCACTTTCCCAGAATCTATTAAGGCTAGCAACACCCATGCCCTCAGATAAAAAAAAAATTACTTTCCCAGAATTCCCTGCAGCTAGGGGCAGTTACATCCTCAGCAAAATACTTGCCTTCCCAGAACCCCTTGCAGCAGCAGCCACGTGACCCAGCCTGGCAATGAGACATAAACAAGGTTTCTGGGAGGCACTGGCTTTGAGGGAGTGAGGGACTGGAGGGTGCCAAGCATTACATCCCGAAGGATGCTGACAAGAAACACGGCAACCCAGGACAGTCACTCAGAGCGAGGCAGGGAACAAAAGCCAGGCCGGCACCAGATCAGGAAGCCAGCGAGCAGAGGACACCCGGTGGCGGTGGAGGCAGACTGACAGATCCGAGGATTCAGGTCTGTATCCCCTTCCCACTTGTCTAGCTTACTGAGCCACTTGCGCTGTTAAAGAAAGAAATGCTTGACTCTGTAAGCGCTTAACTCAGTGGTCTGAGTGGTTTCTTGGTTCTGCATGTTCCATCTCAAAGAATGAGGTTTTCTTGGCCTCATTTGGAAACTAAAAGTGGGAACTCAAATGCAACAAGCATGCTGCCCCTTCCTAATCCCTCTTTCTTCCTGCCTGGAGTATGGACTTGAGAGCTGGAGGTGCAGCAGCCATCTAGCAACCATGAGGGTAAAAGCTGAGAATGGGTAAGAAAAATAAAGGAGGAGCCTGGGCATTTAGTGACATTGCTGAGCTGCTGCTAACGCGATCTTGCCTCCTATGGGTTTTGTGGTTTCGTGAGAAAAATAAACTCTAGTGTGCTTAAGCCACTTGTGGTCAAGTTTTCAGTTGTCTGCCGCAGAAGGCATCTCTAACTGACCACACTGAGACACGCGAGGTCAGAGCAGGGAGGACGCCCTCTGGGTAGGGAGGGGGCTGCTATCCCTCCATCTCCAGGGGCTTTTCCCTGCCCTGCTCCAAACCCTGCAGGCTCTGGCCTCTGCTCACTCCTCCAGCCTTTCCCATCTACAGGGAGCTTCATGGTTATGTCTGTGGTCCTGGAGTCACCTCTCTGGTGTCAAACCCTGGATCTGCTGTGTGACCTTGAATCAGAGTCCTAACCTCTCTGAGCCTCCCTATCTGAAGAAATAGGAGTAATAATTGGGCCTGCCTCAAAGAAGGTTGTGACGACTTTACATGACATGAGTCAGGCCACGGAAAGCGCTCTCCATGGTGCCTGGCATGTGTCCTGTGTGACTGCTATTGTTGCGGTCATTGTTGAAGGCCCCTTCTGGGGCCTGCGGGGGATTCAAAGATGCTCCAAAGCAAGTCCAGCCTGCAAAGAGCTGATGGTCAAGGCAGGGAGTAAAGGAAATATGAAGCCCCCCTTAATGGAAGATGGGACGTGATTCGGGGCTGGCCCGGTGGTGTAGTGGTTAAGTTCACACACTCCGCTTCAGTGGCCCAGGGTTCACAGCTCCGGACCTAGCACTGTTCATCAAGCCACGCTGTGACAGCGTCCCACATAAAAGAGAGGAAGATGGGCACAGATGTTAGCTCAGGGCCAATCTTCCTCAGCAGAAAAAAAAAAAAAAGGGATGTGATTCATGCCCTAAGGGAGCGAGCATCACCCTTCTTGTGCTCACATAAAGAATCAAGCGGCATTTGTTGAACAAAATGTAAAATGATCAGGCCCCGACCCTGATACTGGGGCACATGAATTCAATGAGTTCACGCAGGAAACGGACTTCGAGGCTGCTGGACCCTCCACGCATCCTCATCCCCATGATGGTGGATCCTGTTACTGTTCCCACTGCCATTATGGCTTCCTTCCTCCACCTCCTCCGGTCCCATCACTGGCTTTCAACAGCCCCACGGCTGCCATCCGTTGGCCCCGTGACCCTCTCACGCCCGCGGGGTTGGTTTCACGCACCCCCTGATCTCCGCCAGGCCCCTCGAGGAACCACTGTGGCTCCCACTGCTCTTGGAATGAAGCTCAGACTCCCCGCTCGCCTCCTCCAAGACCCCGCGCGGCCCGGCTCTGGCCACTTCCGACAGCCTCGGCTCACATCCCGGACTGCACTCGCCCTCTCCCTCCCACGAGCCCGCTCTGGCTCCCGGAGCTTCCCCACTCAGAATCCTCCACGGCGCCCCAGCGCCCCCACAATGACACCCACGCTCCAAAATGGCGTAGTCTGGACCCTGCTCACCTCCGGGCTCATCCCCTGCCTCCTCTTCACGCCTTCTCCAAACACGCCACAATCGCGCACACTTCCAGACCGTTCTTGGTTTCCCTGGAACGCCTCCCCGTCTTCTCCCTCCTCCTGGCTAACTCCTATTTCCACCTGAAGACTCAGCTCAGAAGCCCCCTCCTCCAGGAAGCCCTCTCTGACCTTCAAGCTGGTCCAGACACCCCATCGGGGCTCCCAAGCTCCCTGGGGTCCCTCTTCCCGGCCCTGCCCACACTGGGTGGTCACTCTCTCGTGACAGATCTGTTTCCCTCCCTGGGATGTAAGCTCTGAGAGGACGGGGCCTGAGCCGTCACGGTCATCTCCTTGTCCCCAGCAACATCCTGCACAGAGCCGGGGACAGAGCATCCAGCAGAAACAGGGGTCGAAAGACTGCGGATTCAGAGCGAGACACCACAGCGTTTCTATTAGTCTGTCAATCTGGTGTCTCTAGATTGCGACCCGGTGTTTTTCCATCCCCGAAGCCTGCTTTCTTTGGATCCCACCGACCGGTTTCTTTCCAACCACAGCTCCTCGTGTGTTTTCAGTTCCCACCGGCCAGGCCTCCCTGAGGGCAACCTGATGTTACATAAGGGACAGAAGCCCTGAGTTCCTGGATGAACCGTGGGACTTCAGGCCAGTCCCTGCTCTGTCTCTGGGCCTCAGTTTCCCCAATCTGTATCCCAAAGGGCCAAGATTGTCTGTGAATCCAAGTGTCATAATGTCTACGGCCACAGGAGGGCAGTGTGGGCCCATCTGCGGCCTAAGGAGGGTGGGAACCACACAGGTGGGAGAGGCAGGCCCGGTGGTGGCAGCCTCCATGGCAACCGAGGAGCCCAGGCTCTGTCTGGGGAGGCCCCGCCTCTAACCTGTTCCCACCCTCCAACCACCTGCGCCAGGCCCCCTCCTCCCCGCAGCTCCCCGATGGCCTTCGTGCCTCCGTGTCCACCCGCCTCTCTCCCCGGCCCTCCGAGGTTGACTGACTTCCTTCTCTACATCTCTGGTGCTCCCTCCGCATCTCTGTTCTCCGTGATTCTCTGTGCGCCTCTCTCGGTGTGTCTGTCCCTCCTGTTTGCATCTGTTCCCTGGCTTTTCCTTTGTCTTTCTGTAGCTCGCTGTTTGTCTTTTTTCTCTGTGTCTGTCTCTCTGCCTTTCCTGTCCTCTTTCTCTCCTCTGTGGTGCTCTGTCCTTCTCTCCCCATCCCTGTTTCTGTCTCTCTGTGTCTCTCTCTGCCTCCCTCTCTCTCTCTCTCTCTGCCTCTCCATCCCTCTCTCTTCCTCTCTCCTCCCTCCCCACTTACCTGCGCTCACCGTAATTGCCTCTAAAAACTGCTCCCTCCACGAGTGGGTCCCAATCACCAAGGCCAGGTTGGTTTTCTTGATGAGTTTGTCCACTGTGTTCTGGGGACGAGAGAGGCGGGCAGAGATCACCGGCCACGATCACTCCAGGCAGCTCCACGGGCGAAGCTGGGGTTGGGGGCTCACACCCCGTGCTCAGGGGTCACCCTTCCACACCCCCGTTCCAACAGCAAGCAGGTAAAAGGGGGGGAGGGGTGCTGTCCATGGTGCTAATGGAGGGACCTGGAGGACGGCCTCGGACCCTGGGTCCCCCCTCTCTGTGACTCTCACCATTGACCCCTCTTGGACCCTCCCCACGGAAACGACTCAGGCAGGACTCCAGGAAGGGGAGGCCCCGGAAAATCACCTTGAAATCATACGACTCCTCGATGATGACCTCCAGCCGGCAGTTTTCCCCGAGAACCGGCTTGCCCATTTCCGCTATCCTCCGCGCCTCCTCCTCCTCGGCCGACAGCTTCCTGTCCCCGTCCCCTGGAGCAGGAGGGACGGGAGTCAGACTCCAGGGAGGCCTCCCTCTCCCCACCCTCTTAACCGGGCCTGCGCTCCTTTACTGCCTGCTCCCACAGATGAAGTAAACCCTTGGCTGCCCGCCTCTGCCCTCCCTGCCTGCCCCAGCCTGCTGTCTGACCACCACCTTCCCCCACCTGAGACCCAGCTCCCGTGGCTGGCCCGTGAGGTTCAGTGGGTGGGCTCTGGGGTTCATCTGGTGGGGGCTGTGTGACCTTGGGCCATGCCTTAGCCTCTCTGTGCCCCAGTGCTCATAATGTAAAAAGGGCACAATCACAGTACCTACCTCAGAGGGCGAAAGGAGTTAATTCATGGGAGGTGCTTAGAACAGTGCCTGGCACATGATACATAGATAGTCAAAAATGTTACTTTCTTTCTTATTTCTTTCTTTACTATTTATTATTATTATTTATTTCTTTATTATCACCAACAGCGTCCTCATCAGCATCACCACCCTGGTGGAGGAGGCCTGGGCTGTCAGATCGAAGCTCTGAAAACATCCTAGGGTGTGTCTGAGGTGGTGAGGAAAGAGGGGAGTCCCGGTTTGGGTACGAATCTTGGACCCAGACCCCTACAGCCGGCCTTGAGCTCATTGTCTCCCCGGAGTATGCTGACCCTTTACTCCGAGCCCAGCACCAACCGAACTCTGGGTCTCAACACTGAGCATGATTCTAACCATCACGCCAAATGTAATTCTGTCACCAACCCTGACTCCGAACCCCAGCTTTCAACCCTGGCTCTGACTCCACTCCACCCCTAGGTCTAAACCCCATTCCCAACGCTCACTCTGCCTTGAACCTGACCATCAATAACCCCAACCAAATCCCACATCGGAACGCCAGTCCCAAGCCGGACCCCAAACCTCAGTCCCAACCCCCGACTCTGACACCATCACTGACAACGAACTTGACCGTGGGGCAGAGACTGTGACGTGTGGTCCCCTTTCCCTCCTGGGCAAACAGCTGGACTACATTTCCCAGACTTCCTTGCAGTTGGGCGTGATCATGTGACAGTAATGGCCAATAGAACGCGGGCACGCATGATGGACAGCGCTCCCAGGCTTGGCCCACGTAAACCTGGCCTGGGATCCTCCGTATTCTCTCTCGTCCTGTTTGCCCGCTGGATGAAGAGGGTCCAGGGAGAATACCAAAGCTCCACGGGATGATGGAGCCACAAGATGGAATGACCATATGGCAGAAGAGAGCCACCCACCAGCCAGGAACCCTTTCACCAAACTTTGCCCGAGCAAGAAATAACTTTTATTGCATTAAGCTACTGGGATTGGTTACAGCAGCTTACACTGCTTACCCTGACTAACACGATCTTTAGTCTGACCCGAACCCTAACCCCAAACCCCAATTCTGATCTCAACTCCGAAACTCCTCTTTCACTCTCTCCAAGCTGCTGACCTCAGCCGCAACTCGCACCCCAGTCTCTGCTCCGGGCCCCAATTCCAACCACAAGCCCCTCAAACTCCTCTCGGACTCCAACCTCAGCTTTGACCCAAATCTGACCCCAATTCTAACGTGATCCCATCGGGAACCCAGCAACCACCCTCCATCTTAACTAGCTCTCCCCTTGACCCACTCCTAGGCCAGCTGCCAAATCCCAGCGCCACCCTGGTCCTGAGCAGCCCCAAACCTGACTCCCTCTGACCCCACCCCAAACCCAAAGTGGATTCTTTGACTTCCTTTTCCCGCAACCTCAACTACAAACAAGACAGAAGCTTGGTCCCCAAGCCTTGAACCGTGAGCCCAACTCACAGTGGCTCCGCCAACTCTAAGGCCAGCCCCCAGCCCTGAATCTCCCCTTATCTCACCCCCAGCCTGCCGCTAACCCAACCTAGAAGGGTAGCTTGAGGCTCCGACCCTCCCCCAAGACCCCCTCCAACCCCCCCCCCCACCCCCCTGAGTCAAAGGCCACAGGTCACTCCACTCACCCTGATTGAGCAGCAGAGCTGGGGAGAGACAGACAAGGAGAAAGTGAGATCCCTGCCCTGGGAAGCCCCAATCCATGAGCTTGAAGGAGCACCCACAACGGAGCCCCCAGGGGTGCCCCCACCCCGGGACCCTCCCCTCTCCACAGCCCGCCCCCCAGCCCTCACCTGAAATCCCTCGCTTCAGCCACTGCGGCTGGCCCAGCTCGATGAAGAAGTTATCCTTCTTCTCATATTCCTCATCATCAACTATCTTCACCTGCAGAGTTTTCCTGGGGAAGCGGGAGGCAGGACGCCCGGATAACTCGCCCATGAGCCCCCCAGTGTCTTGAGTGCCCACGCCACCCCAGGCTCGGCGATCGCATTAAACCCTCACAACCCCCCTGGGAGGAAGGCCCTCTTCTTGTTCCCATTGGACAGAAACGAGCCCCGAAGCAGCTGAGGAAGCTGAGGTTTATTCAACAGCCATCAGAGGGATCCCGACAAAACCTAAGTTAGATCGGGTCCCTCCGCTGCTCAAAACATTCCCACGGCTCCCATCTCACCCAGAATAAAAGCCAAAGTCCTTAGAATGGCCAGCAAGGCCCCAGGCCATCTGACCCTTATTCCCTTTCTGGCCTCCCACCTCCATCCTCTTTGCTCACTCCCTCCAGCTACATTGGCCTCCTAGCTGCTCCTTGAACATACCAGGCCTGCTGGTGCCTCAGGGCCTTTGCACTGGCTGCTACTTCCACCTAGAACACTTTTCCCCTAGGCTCATTCTCTCCGTTCCTCCAGTTCTCTGTTCAAACTTCACCTTCTTAATGAAGCCCACTCCCACCACCTAATTTAATACTGAAATCCATCCTTGCCCCCCCACCCCAGCCCCTCTGGCTCCCTCACCCTGCTCTGTGTCTTCTTGGTTCCATGTCACCTTCGAACACACCATCTAATGTGTTTATTTTTGTTTATTTCCCTCCTTCCATTAAATTGTCAGTTCTACCAGGTCAGCGTCTTTGTCCATTTATGTTCTTTGCCTAGAACAGTGCCTGACACACAGTACGTCCTCCACAAACAGGAGACCCTCGGCTTCCTGCCCTCCGTCTCTACCCCACTTGGAAGGTTAGCCGAGTACTCACTGATCTTCTCAGAGTCCCTGCTGCCATGGTAACCAGGGGGTGGCAGGGGAGGAACAGCCATAAGTTATCCGTCCCCCTCAGGCACACGACCCACCCCCGTCCATCACAAAGACCCACAACCCCAGAAAGCCCACGGCTCTGCCCCTAGCAGCTCTTTCCGCTGCAGGAACCACAAAGCCTGGCCCCAGAACCCAGAAACACAAACACCCAGCCCACACAGTCACCCAGCAGAGGAAGCACAGCCAATCACACCGCCCACGCCCACACGCCATCACACCCCGCAGCCATTCCCTATGCAGTGGCAAAGTCGCACGGACCAGATGCCCGTTCGCACGACACCCCCACCACAGCCTGCAGCCTGGGCGCCGTCGCCAACCTGCAGACCCCCGCTGGGGTACCGGCCAGCCTTCCTTCCTTCCTTCCACCTCGCTCTTTATGCCTCCTGGTGTCTGCTTACTCCCTTCCCTGTGTCTCTGTCTGCATCTCGGTCTCTCTGCCCATCTCTCAGCCTCTCTGCGTCTCTCTCTCCATCTCTCTGACTCTCTGTCTCTGACCCTCTCTCCTCAGCTCTCTGCCTTTCTTCGTCTGTGTTCATCTCTCCCCCTCCAGGTTCCTCAGTGTCCAGAGAATGGAATAACCAAAGGGAACACAGTCCATGCAAAAGGGTCACTCAACGGACCCATCTCAACTCACAGACACCCAGGACACAGCGACACTCGTGCAAAGACAGACGCACACAAGACGGTCGTGTGGGGACACACGCCCACCCTCCACCCTCGCCCCCTCCCAGTCTCTGGATATTTTAAATTTTCGGGGGATGGGGGGAGAAATGAGCACCCCCCCCCAAAAAAAGCGCGGGCGGGGAGCTGTCCGCGGTGCTGAAACGCCTCAGTTCCGCGCAAGGCGCGGGGTCTCCTGAGACGCGCAGCTCACACACCGTGACACACGCGGACGGCCGCGGGCACGGCGACACGCTGGCGGGGTGACACACACACCCCTCCGGCGCTCCCTCTCTCGCAGACACGCCGTGATCCACTGTCACGCAGTGACGGACACGCAGGGACACGCGAGCCCTCGGGGGACCCCGAAGGAGGAGAAACTCAACCGGCAGGGGGACAGCAAGAGGGACTCGAGCTAGATCAGAGCAGAACTTGCCGAGAGCAAAGGAAGCAGCCTGCCTCCCCAGCCTGACATCCCGCCACCCTCACGCCTGCCCTCCTGTTTTCTGGAAGCTCCACTCTCCCGCCCCTGGTGACCTCTGATCTCTGACCCAGTGTCTTTCTCATCCTGTCTCCCGCCGTCTCTCGCTGACCCAAACTCTCCTCTCCCTCTGTCGCATCAGCTCTCCTTCCCTGAGTCCCACTGAGTCTCTCTCAGTGAGAAGAATGTCTCTCACCTCCCCGCCATCTCTCTCCCTTTCGGTCCTCCTCCATCTCAGTCTGTCTCTCCCTCCTCGGGTGTATCTCTGTCACTCAGTTTCCTTCTCCCTTTGTGTCTCTCTCTAAGTTCCTGTCTCTCTCTCTGGGTGATGGTCTCTCTCTTGCTTGTCTCTCCGCCACCCCATCTCTGGGCGTCTCTCCTCCGTCTCTGTGTTGATCCTGCCCGGGGCTGCTTCCAAGCACCTCTAATTAGCGCCTGCCCATCAGAGGAAGGATGTGTTTCCCTAATCGCTAATTAGCCTCCTGTTCTCTGTCTCCTGAAGCCACAGCTGGAAGCCTGGGCGGGGGCGGGGGACAGAGGGTGTCCCAGCCGGGGGAAGCCGTGTGGGGGAGGAGAGGGCCTGTGGGGTCGCAGCAGCAGCAGCAGGAGGGAAGTGGGTTAGACTCCAGGAAGGACCGGAACAAGCAGAAAGACAACTCTCCCCATTCTCCCTGCCTCTTGGGTGTGAGAGATGGGGCCTGGGATGGTGCCCTCAGCCCCAACCCGAGGTCTCAACCCCCAGGCAAAGTGAGAGAGAGAGAGAGAGATGGAAAGGTATGACTGAAATAAAAGCCGAGTCAGAGAGCTGGATACTGGAGACAGAGATCTACAGATTAACAGAGATGCAGAGATGCGAGACAGGGAGCGCCGTGAGAAGCCGAGCGGAGCTGGAGGAGGAGGGGGAAGAGGAGCGCGGCGGGGGCTCCGCTCGGTGGGAGGAGCGTGGGCGGCAGGAGGAGGGAGACAGACGGGCGCGCGGGGGCGGCAGGGAGCGGGCAGAGGGGGGAGGCGCCGTCTGCATCCCAGGCAGGCGGTGGGGGAAGTGAGGCTGCAGGCACACATGGGGGGACTGGACATCTGTGGAAGGGGGTGGCCGGTGTCTGGACTGCCCTGACTCTGTTTCTGCGTGCGCGTCTGCGACTCTGTGTGTCCGTATGTGCCAGAGTGTGTGCTGCTTGTGTCTGTGTGCCTACAGACGCATCCACTTCCCCAGACCGCACCCCATCCTCCCAAATCCCAGCCCGCCAGCTTCCCCAGGCCCCGCCCCCACCATCCCGGTTCCCTATATTCCTACTCAGTCTTGTCTCAAAGCCTCGCCCACCTCCCCCTTAAGTCTCCTGCTCTCTCCCCAGGTTCTTCGTTCTGCCCACAGGCTCCACCCTTCCATCGGCCCCTGCCCCATCTCCTTAGGCCACGCCCATCTCCTTAGGCCCCGCCCACCTCCCTAGGCCCCGCCCCTTTCCCCTACCCCAGTCTATTTCCCTGCGTCTCTGCACAGACCCCACCCATCGCCTTAGGCCCTGCACCGGCTCCGTTCAGCAGACTCACCCTCCATTTCCACAGCCACCGTCTCACCTCCACAGGACCCTCCCCTCATCCCCACCAGGGCCCCCTCCTCAGGCCACACTCCCTCCCCACCAGCTACCAATGAAGTCCTCCACACTCTCTCCAGGCCGCTATCCTATCTCCTCTCCCCTCTCTCCTCACCTGGCCCTTCCTCCTCCGCTCTCACCCTCTTCTCCCCAAACTTGCCGCCTCGTTCTCCCAGACCCGCTCACGTCTCATCCCATCACTTGGCCCCGCCCCGTCACTCCTGTCTCCTCCCTCCTCTGCCCTGCCCCGCCTTTCCAGACCTCTCCATTTCACGAGGTTTGGCCCTACCCAGGCACTGACCATTATAGAGCAGACCCCACCCATTCCCAAGGCCCTGCCCCTTCGCAAGACCCACCCACTCTCCAGCCACGCCTACCACTCGGGCTCCGCCCCTCCAAACGACCCACCCAGTCCCTAGCCACGCCCACCAGCCCCCACCCCTTCAAAAGACCCACCCACCCTCAAGCCACGCCCACCATCCAGGCCCCCGCCCCCTTAGAGCTACCTACCCACTCTCCAGCCATGCCCACCAGGCTCCACCCCTTCAGACAACCTACCCACTCTTCAGCCACGCCTGTCACCCAGGCCCCGCCCCTTCAGAAGACCCACCTACTCCCCAGCCAACCAGGCCCCGCCCCTTCAAACAACCCACCCACGCCCACCCAGCTCCTGCCCCTTTTGTCGGCCTGCCCCTTCGAATGACCTGCCCACTCCCCAGCCACGCCCACCAGGCCCCACCCCTTTGGACGACCCACCCACTCCTCAGCCAAGCCCACCAGGCCACGCCCCTCCAAACATCCCACCCACGCCCCAGCCACGCCCACAGGCCCCGCCCCTCTCTGAGGCCCCGCCCCTTCCCGCGGCCGGCGCGCTCACATGGTCTCGTCGTCGCCGAACTCGAGCTCGCCGCACGCGTCCTCGTAGTGCACGCCGCCGCCGCGCGCCGTGCCGTCCACCGTGCGGTAGGGCAGACGCACGGTGCCGCGCGCCCCCGAGCTGCGCACGACGCGCACGTCCACGGTGCCCATGCACTCGCTCACGTGCAGCAGGCGGTCCTGGAAGGAGAAGATGCCCGCGTGGTCGTCGTCCAGGATGGTGACCGTGGCCAGCAGCGGCGCCACCAGCCGCCCCTTGGGCCGCCCGCCGCCGTCGGGCTCGAACATGCCCTGCGCGTCGCCCACGCGCAGGTTCAGCAGCCGCACGAAGAAGTGCTCGTCCTCCTCGAAGATGTCGTCGTCGATGATGCCGATGCGCAGCTCCTTCTGCGTCTCGCCCGGCTTGAACACCAGCGTGCCCTCGCTGCGGCGGAGGAGGGGGGAAGACAGGGGTGAAGCTCCGTCCGCGGCTCTGGCGGTGGGGGGAGTCAGGGCGGGCTTCCCGGAGGAGGGGGCGGCGCCGCCGGAGAACTCACAAGTGTGAGGGCGGACAGGTGTGAAACAAATAATCCTGAGGGGGAATCAGGGTGGGCTTCCCGAGGGGAGGGGATGCAGAAAGGGAACAAGGCAGAGTTGGTGCTTCCCCCTGTGGAACCCATCAGGATTAGGAGGGCCTGCATTAAACAGATGATGATGGAGGTGCCATCAGGGCAGGCTTCCCGGGGACAGGCTTTCCTGGGCTGGAGTGCTCCAGGCAGAGGAAACAGCCAGTGCAAAGGCCCTGAGGCACGGGCGGGCCTGGAGCGTTTGAGGACCAGCGGGGAGGCCAGTGTGGCTGCAGCGGAGGGAGCCAGGGGGAGAGGGTGGGAGATGATGTCCCAGACGGAACAGGGGCAGATGTCATAGGGCCTGGGTGGGCCACGGTGAGGACCTTGGCGTTTACTCGGAGTGAGATGGGAGCCGTGGGAACAGAGGACTGGGCTCCAGATGCCCAAGAGAAGCCCAGCCCTGTGGGAGGTGCAGTGGGAACCCCAAGATTCTGGAAAGGTGTAGAAGCAGAGGACAAGACCTGGAGTGGAGGGGTAAGGGGCTCCCCGTGGTTGCAGCCCTCAGCTCGGGGGACGTGGTCCATGGTGGCCGGGGACCCCCAGAGGGTGGGCGGGCCTGCTCTGAGCCTGGCTTCCTCATCTGTAAAATGGAGCTAGTGAGGGTGTCTAGCTCCTGGCGGTGGCATAAGGATTGAGTGAATCCCGAGGAAGCGCTCAACAAACTTAGCTAGTGAGATTTGCATATTAACGTTAGAATCTTAGAATCCTCAAGTTATGGGATGTTTGCAACGGCAACTGAAGGGAAAGTAGGACGAGGGATCCTAGCACCATCTTGGCCCAACTGTTAACGGATGTTACCAGTAAAGGGCCAAGCGGGTGGCAGGTGCCTCCTGGAATGATGCACCGAGGAGGACACAGCATCCTTTCCGCGGATCCCTGCCCCCGTGCATCGCCTGCAGCTGCTCATGACGATGCGTCAGACAGACCAGAGGGAGGGACGTTCTAGGAACGGGCCCGTCATCTTCGGGAGGGTCGGGCTCATGAGAGTCGTGGGAAGCCTGAGGGGTGGCTCGGACCGAAGGAGACTCAGGAGGGATGACGAGCGGACACAGCGTGTGGCTCCTGAGAGACCGGAAGAGAGGACGGGAGTGGAAACTCAACCCTAAGGGATGTTACGGGGACAATGGGGGCAGCCAGGCCAGAGCGGTAGACCGGGTGATGATGCGGATTCAGGGTTAAGTTCCCCGAGTGTGGTCATCGGACTCCGACTGTGTAGGAGAATGTCATTAGTCCTAGCAGACGCACCCTCGAATGTCTGTGGGTGGGGGGTCATGCTGTCTGCACCTCACTCTCATATGGTACTCCAATTATTAATATTATTTTTTTTTTGAGGAAGATTAGCCCTGAGCTAACATCTGCTGCCAATCCTCCTCTTTTTGCTGAGGAAGACTGGCCCTGAGCTAACATCCGTGCCCATCTTCCTCTACTTTATACGTGGGACGCCTACCACAGCATGGCGTGCCAAGGGGTGCCATGTCTACACCTGGGATCCGAACCAGCGAACCCCGGGCCGCTGAAGCGGAATGTGCGTACTAAATCGCTGCGCCACCCAGCTGGCCCTATTAATATTATTATATATTAAAGAGAGGAGGATGCAAATGGAACAAAGTACGAACAATTGGTGAATCTGGGTGAAGCTTAGGTGAGGGCTCGTCAGACTTCTTGCAGCCCTTCTGTCCGTGTGAAATTTTTCAAAATAAAAAGTTTGGGAGAAAAAGAAGATGGGGATTGCAGAAACCAGGCATCAGAATCACAGAAGGCTAGACCCACAGGATTCATATTCCCACACTGGATGCACAGAATCTGAGAAGATGAAACTCGGAGAACCATCCAGTCAGAGACTGGATTGGAATACCAAAATGTGGGAATCCTGGAATTGTAGGACTTTAGATGCTTAGCATGTTAGGATCATAGGAGCTTAAGTCTCAGAATCTCAGAAGAGCTATGCTGTTTAGGGGCTTCAGAGATCATGTTTAATCTGGAGAAACTGAGGCTCACATGGCCACCCTAGCCTATGTCATACCTGTGGGCAAATTAGAAAAAGGCTTCTCTCCTTCAAGATACGTTATTTCCATGAGTCAGAAAATTGTCATAATGGACATACAAATCTACATTGGCCACTATGTGAAAAGAGCTTCCTCAGAGATAGTGCTCTTGGGCAGTGCACAACCTCAACAACTGTACATGGCAGCCCTGTCTGCCTAGACTGAGGCAAGAACTTGCCCAAGGAACACAGTCCAGGGCTAAGCTCGGACTTGAACCCAGGTGTTCTCCCTCCCAGTCCTGGAGTTCAGCTGCCTTGATAAGCGATCATGAATGTGAATGTCGACTGGGATGGAAGAGCAGGGATGGGCAGGAAGGTGTCAATGCTTCCTAGCTCTTTGGTTCCACCACCAAGCAGCGCGTACTTACTCCTTCTCTTCAAGATCTGTGAAACAGAGAACTCGGCCCCCAGCAAGAGAAGGGCCAAGGATGAGGGACTGGCTGCTGCCCGATGGCAGAACCAAAGATCTGTGAACGGTTCAGCCTCAGCTTTACTCCAGGGAGAGGATGAAACGGAGGTGCGGCCGGCAGTTTAGCAGGGGAAGCTCTGCAAAGTCCCGCCAGCAACACTCTCTCTCCCGGGCTCGGCTTGATGTTGTCTCCTCAGTTCTTCCCACTCCCTGACATTTTTGCCTGTTCGCTGTCTGCTTCCTAATGGTCTTTCCCAGGAGGGTGTCAGCCACACTCGGGCGAGGATTTATGTGTTTTGTTCACTGCCGGCCTCCGCTGCCCTGATCTGCTTCTGGCGCATAGTGGACACGTGATCAATGGGATTAGGATGGAAACTACAGGAGACTCTGCACGTCAGTTAACAAAATAGAGTGTAGGGCGCTGATTCTTGAAAGAGTGTGGCATGGACAGAGGGACTACAAATAAGGAATCTCGCGGGCCACATGAGGACAGAGGAGCTATCTGACTTGTTTATTTTCTTATGTTGAGCTCCTAAAAAAAAAGGCATTCTGGCTTTCTGATGGAACCAAAGACCTGGGGACAATGGGCCGGCCCGGTGGCGCAGCGATTAAATTCGCACTTTCCGCTTCTCGGCGGCCCGGGGTTCACCGGTTCGCATCCCGGGTGCGGACATGGCACCGCTTGTCAAGCCATGCTGTGGTAGACATCCCACAGATAAAGTAGAGGAGGATGGGCACGGATGTTAGCTCAGGGCCAGTCTTCCTCAGCAAAAAGAGGAGGATTGGCAGCCGTTAGGTCAGGGCTAATCTTCCTCAAAAATAAATAAATTAATTAAATTAAATAAAGACCTGGGGACAACGTGACCACCGTCTCTGTCTTCTTACCCGACTTAATTTTCCCACCTCGTGCTTAGCATCCCCTGACGGTTTTACATCTTTAATAGTTCATGACCTTATTGCAACTTGAGGGTAGGGATCTCAGCTGTCTTATTCACTGCAGTATGCCCCTGGCATATAATAGGTGTTCAATAAACATGCTTCCTTTAGTGATGCTGTGGCAGGGGAGGGTCCTTGTTCTCCCAAGTAACAATACACATCATGCAGCTGGAATCCGTCCAGTGCAAGAACCCACAGGTAGATAATGCACGTGGGAGGGACGGCTGTGGGCCGTGGACCTGCCACGCTCTCTGCCTTGTCCAGGCGGTGTGACACATGCCCGGGACAGCGTCTGACACAAAGCCGGCTCCCCAGAATGAATGAATGAATCAATCAATGAATGCATCCTGCAGGTCTGCTCAGGGCAGGTAAGGATGGGCGCAGGAGGGAGCCGGGTGTCACAGGACTGGGACAGGGTCTGAGGCAAAGCAGGCTCCCCAGAATGAATGAATGCATGAATGAATGAATGCATCCGGCAGGTCTGCTCAGGGCAGGTAAGGATGGGCGCAGGAGGGAGCCGGGTGTCACAGGACTGGGACAGGGTCTGACGGCAAAGCCAGCTCCCCAGAGTGAATGAATGCATGAATGAATGAATGCATCCGGCAGGTCTGCTCAGGGCAGGTAAGGATGGGCGCAGGAGGGAGCCGGGTGTCACAGGACTGGGACAGGGTCTGACACAAAGCCGACTCCCCAGAACGAATGCATGCATGAATGAATGAATGCATCCTGCAGGTCTGCCCAGGGCAGGTAAGCATGGGCGCAGGAGGGAGCCTGGAGGCTGCGGGACATGGGAACCTGCCCCTTGCCAACAGCCGACCCCAGTGCCCCGCCCCCCGCCCCGAGGGCACCGGGGGCCCCCCCGCCCCCCCGGGGCGCACCTGTACTCGTAGTCGGAGCCGGCCTTGGCCGAGCCGTCCTCCGTGCGGTAGTCCACGTAGAAGGTGCTGTTGCCCTCGCCGCCCTGGCACGTGACGGACAGCAGCACCGAGCCGCAGTTCTCCAGGCAGTGGTAGAGGCTGGGCTCGAAGAAGATGCGGCTGGCGCCGTCGTCCTCGTCCTCGCCGGGGCCCTCGGCCGGGCCGGCCCTGCGCGACGCGTCGGCCGCGTGTCTCCGCAGCACGTTGCCCGCGCCGGTCATCAGCCGCGTGGCCTGGATGCGGTAGAAGGCGCGGCTCTTCTGCTGGTGCAGCAGCGCGTAGTAGTTGGCGATGCCCACCAGCTGCTCCAGGTCCTTGTCCGGGTGCTTCTGCTTGAGGTCCTTGAGGATCTGGATGACCTCCCGGCGGCTGGCGTCCAGCTCGCGGGCCTCGGCGGGGCCCGGGCCCAGCCCGCCCAGCTCGCCCGGCGCGTCGGCGCCCACGAACGTGCCGTCCAGCTCGATGCTCTTCGGGGGGTCGCCCTCGGCGCCGATGATGATGCCGCTGCGCGGGTCGGTGCGGTAGCGCTTGTACACGTATTTGTAGAAGAGCAGGCGCTTGTCGGCCATCCAGGCGAACACCACGCACACCGGGAAGAACACGAGGGTCAGCAGCGCCTCCCACACCTGCGGGCGGGGGGCGCACGCGCGCGCGCGGGTCAGGACCGCGGCGCACGGAGGGGGCGCGCACGCAGCCCGCCCGCCAGCCGCGTGCGTCCTCCCCGCCGCGGGTCTTCCGCATCCCTCTCCATCCTCGCCTGGACCCGCCCCCGCCTCTCCCATCTCCCCCCCCCCACCCAGCCTGGACCCCTCATTCATCCATCTCGCCCCCTTTGATCGCGGCCGAGGACCACGCCCAGCTGCCCGAGCGCCGGCAGCTCAGACCGCCGCGGCCACCACCGCCCAGCCAGACAGGGGACCCCCCCAGCCCCGCGCTCCCCGCCGCGCCGCCACCGGGCAGAGCCGGGGTCTCTTTCTGCCTCGCTCCTCCTCCATCTTTTTTTTTTTTTTTCTCCCTGCTGCCCCCCGTCCGAGTCCCACCCGGGATGCCTCCACTTCTCCCAACCCCCCCACCGCCCCGGGGGCTGCTCTCTGCTCAGCCCCTCCCCGAGCTCCCTCCCTTCGCCCCCCCCCCCCCCCCCCCCCCCCGCCAGTGCATCCGGACCTCGCCCGGACTTTCTCCTTCCTTAGAGTTCGTGGGGTCCTTGGGGACGGGATCCTGACTCTAAAAGAGGCACAGGCTTAGCTCGTCATCACACAGACTCCTAAACCCAGTTCCCGTGTTTACACGCCACCTCCCCAAGAAAGAAGGGCAATGCCGAGTTCAGACCCGGGTTCTAGAAGAGGGATGCTCGGCCCAGCCTCTCGTCTGAGCAATGGGGACATCCCCAAGACGGAGTGAGCTCACACACCCCCGGCACTTCGCATCGCGGGTTCCTGACACGTGGGAAACACTCGCGACGTGAATTAACATCACCATTATTATGACTACCAGCGCTCTTATCCTGGGCTCAGTGAGGTCCCCGACAGTCTGCCCACGGCTTGGCACAGGCCTGGGCCCCTACAGGCAGCATCCGCCAACTTGGCAGTTCGCCGTAGAGGCTCAAATGTTACCTTTCTCCTTAAAGATAAGGAAGCAAAGATTCAAGAGGATTTGCAACCGGATGGCCCCAGAGGTGTCTTTAAAGCGAGCCTGGTAGGGAAATTATCTTTTAGGATCCGATCGCGGCAACCCCTCGTCGCCCCGTGTTTACTGATGGCTGAGAGAAAAGGCAGGACTTGGAACCAGGGAAACCACACAAAGCCACCAGACAGGTGTGGGGAGCAGCCGAGTTCTCAGCATAAACTGTAAAATGAACCCTCTCGCCTTGTGTTAATTGAACGGGCCACTGTGTGTATTGTGGGGGATTCTCTCTCTCTCTTTTTTTTCTTTTTGAGGAGGATTAGCCCTGAGCTAACATCTGCTGCCAGCCCTCCTCTTTTTTTTTTTTTTTTGGTGAGGAAGACTGGCCCTGAGCTAACATCCGTGCCCATCTTCCTCTACTTTATATGTGGGACGCCTACCACAGCATGGCTTGACAAGCGGTGCCATGTCCGCACCCGGGATCTGAACCGGCGAACCCCGGGCTGCCAAGAAGCGGAAGGTATGCATTAACCGTTGTGCCACCAGGCCGGTCCTGGATTCTCTCTTAATCAGAAGACAATCTCAAATGCCTAGGAGTTGTTTGCCTGCCTGCAAGTCAATAAAAGGTGATTCTAGTAGATTCGCATCTTCCTTCAAGGAAGGAATGGGTGAGTGGACGTGTCCACCCTGGGAGCTGGGTGGGATGCCTTCCCATCTCGGTGAGCAGAACGCCCCCAAGAGGGAGTATGGGACATCTCGGGGGGTTATGGGTTGCCACCATAATTGGGGGGGGCATGTGGCCCCAGGGGGATGTCCAGCCACTTGTGGGACAGTCCCACACGATACAGAACCGTCTATGTCCCACCTGACTTTAGAACGACCCGCTGGACATTCAGGTTGGTGACAACCCTGCTTAGAATAACTGAAGTCTAGACTCAGCTCTGTTTTAAGTATCTATGAAGCATTTTCCTGGATGGTTTAAGATATGCCAGAGAGTGGCCGTCCAGGTGGCGCAGCGGTTAAGTGCACACGTTCTGTTTCAGCGGCCTGGAGTTCGCCGGTTCGGTTCCCGGGTGCAGACATGGCACCTCTTGTCAAGCTATGCTGTGGCAGCATCCCACATAGAAAGTCAGAGGAAGATGGGCACGGATGTTAGCTCACGGCCAGTCTTCCTCAGCAAAAAGAGGAGGATTGGCAGCAGAGGTTAGCTCAGGGCTAATCTTCCTCAAAAAAAAAAAAAAAATGCCAAAGACACTCATTTTTAATCTCGTGGCTACCTGCTCCTCTGCTGGACTCCTTCCATGGAAGGGTTTCTGGTCTTTCTCTTAAAGCCAAGCTTGTTCATTACGCTGAGGTGCTCGTGTCTGGCTCCCTCGTCATGACTTTTAACGTGGTGCTGCCTGAGCATCTGCATGTGGAAATGCAGCCTGTTCTATTCGAGACGCCTTTATATCAAGTTCGGGCATTGGACTGACTTTTTGGGGAAGCTAACTGCACAGGCACGTTCGATAATGGGAAGACCAGCTCAAATTTACTCTGTTCCAGGCTCGCTATTCCAAGCCCTTCCACACGTAGCAATTCACCTGGTCCTCAGAACAGCCCTCTCAAGTCGGGACTGTGATGACCCCCATACGACAGGGGAGGACACTGAGGCACAGAGCAGGCAAGGAACTTGCCCAAGGTCACACAGCTAGGAAGCAGCAGAGGTGGGATTTGAACCCAGACCTCCAGCTCCAAGGTTCCCGCACCAAATTCGGTATTATGGAAGAATGTTCCATGAGTATCGTAAAGGGATGTAACAAAATATCTGTTACAAACGGGGAACACTGGGTATGAGGGTCAGGAGGCGTTGGTCTAGTCCAACCCCTTCCATGGTTCGGATGTGGAAACGGCACCTGCAGAGGAAAGCCGGGGGCAGACCCAGCTTCTCACTCTCCCTGTTCACTGCATCCGGGAGGGATTGGCAGCATCTTTATTCCATGCCAGTCCTTTCCTGAAAATGTCTCCTAATTCTGGCGTCCAGGTTCCTCCATAAGGGGTCCTCTGTGGCTGCTTCTCCACCCACAGCTGCCGTGGCGGTTTATACCCTCAGCTCCTTCTTAGGGGGAACTCTCTCCTCCACCCCCATCCCTACCCCACCTCTCGCCCGTGGGGTCTAAACTTCTTTTTCACAGTTTTAGAGTAAATTCTCATCAAAGACGATTTTGAAAACCGAAGCCAGGAGACCATCCTTTTTAACAGCGCCCGAGAACTGCCTGACGCATCGTTCTGTACTTTTCGCCGTGGCAGCCAGGAAACTCGGAACGACAGTCATGAATCAATCACAGCAACTGTGTTGTCTCCCCGTGCCCTCCCTGGGCCACTGTCTCCCCCTTTCCTCACTGTCCTTTCTGACCCCTCAGTGCTGCCTTTAGAGCATCTGCAAAGATCCTTCCTAGAAAGAAACTGGCAAAACCTTACTGATATGCATGAATGAATTATACACGCGTGTGAATGGATCCTGGGCAGCCGCAAGTAAATTATGCATGTGTGTGAAGGAATTAGGCCAGGCCCATAAATAAATTATGCAAATGTAGGTGGCAGCCGTGGGACTGTGGGAAATAAATTAGGCAAATGTTTTAAAGGCAGCAGTATGCCAGTTAAGACACTGGACAAATGAGAGGCAAACGATGATGTGAATGTGGATGTAAATGATGCAGCTGTGGGGCTAAATTTTGTCTCACTATTGGAATAAATTAGGCAAAGCGGTCTTTGCCGTGGACCGGGTTTCTACCTGTGTTGGATTGGATGTGAGTATGAATTACACTGATGCGGCATAAATTATCCTAACGTCAGAAGTCAATTATGAATAATGAATGAATTATGCAAACCACGATGACATATCTGGCAAATACAGAGCTCAATGCTGCAGATGTGGGGCTGGATCTAGACAAGCTCATGGATAAATTATGCAGATTGCACCAAGTTACCCGAGCCAATTAGCACCATCAGAAAACACAAGGCTGGATTATGCAAGCGTAGCATGAATTATGCAAATGGGGAATGTTTTATTGCAAAATTGGGAATAAATTATGCAAAAGACAGGGAGCGTAAGAAAACATGTGGACATATCTAGCTAGACTGTGAACGTGCAGCGTGCGCAACACAGATCACAGGGACTGTGTTAGCACTCGTGGCACCCTGGTGACAGTTAAAAGGTGCCCCTTCTGGATGGGTATATTGCCAAACAGCACCCCCTCTGGGCAGATGAGCCCTTTCCAGAGTCTGCAGCACCATCCAGACATGGCTTAAGAGCACCCGCTGGACTCCAGCCCTGACTTGCCTTCTCCAGGCCAATGCCCTTGTGCAGTGTGTGACCTGCACAACCATACCTGGCAGCCCCCTCAGATGTAAGCATGCATTTCTGCAAATACACGAATCGACTCTCCAAGCCCAGGGAGCCACTCCTCTGGATTGTGCATACACACATGCATCAAGAAGGCGTCCATGGGTCCTTGCTCACCTGGACCACACCGGGGGAAAAGACGGCCAAGATGAGATAAAGCCAGACGTAAGCAAAGATACTCCAGGAGGCGGTGACAAAGAAGACCCTCAGGTGCTTGATCTTGCGGCTCTCGCCGGCCGGGATGACGTAGATACACACAGCGATGACCACAAACATGTTGAAGGCCGCGCTGCCCACGATGGTGCCGGGGCCCAGCTCGCCCGCCTGGAAGTTGTGGCCGCAGACCTCGATGACCGACAGCAGGATCTCGGGCGCCGAGGAGCCCAGGGCCATGAGCGTGAGGTTGGACACCGTCTCGTTCCAGATGCGGACGGTGCCCACGCTGGTCTCGCCGTTGGCCTTAGTGATGGTGATCTCCTTTTCCTTCGACGTGATGACCTCGATGGACGCCATGAAGCGGTCGGCGATGATGGACACGCCCAGGAACATGTAGACCATGGCCACAAAGTAGACCACGGCCCGGGCCGCCTTGTCACCCAGCGACGGGTCGTCCGGCTCCCAAACGGGGAGCAGGACCCCCGGCTGGCAGCGGTTGGAGCCCTGGCAGCCCCCTGTGCTGGTGTCGCTGTCGTTGGCCGGGGGAGGTGGCAGGGAGGGGGTTGGGGTGGCCGCCCCCGAGCACGGGGGAGCCCCCAGGAGGAGCGCAAACCCCACCAAGGCCAGGGGAGCCATGGAGGGTGGTGGGGTCCTGCGGGGGAGGAGGAAGTCTGGGTCAGCAGGGCAAACCGCTGCCTGTCACACAGGAGAAGGGGAGTGGGGACAGGACTAACAGAGGGAGAGACAGAGATGCAGAGACGCAGAGAGCTCCAGACAGAGACCAAGAGAGAAAGACACAGAAAGATCAAGGCAGAAGGACCCTCCCGCGATGCTGATGGGAGTGTAAATTGCTCTGAGCAATTCAGAAAACTACAACTGAACAGCACGCCTCCTAGGACTCAGCAATTCCACTCCCAGGTATGGACCCGAGAGGAACAGGTCATGCATCTCCCCAAAGACACATACGAGAATGTTCATCGCAGCTTTATTCATACAGGTGCCCATCCTGAAACAACCCAGATGCCTATCAGCAATAAAATGCAGAAGGCTCTATGGAGTATAACATGGTGGAATATTACACAGCACTGAAAAGGGAGTAAGCTACTGACACGCTCAACAACACAGACGAATCTCACAGACATACAAGGGATGAATGAAGCCAGGCACAAAAGAACACCGACTGAATAATTGAGTGTGGGAGGCAAGGGGCTGGAGGCCCTGAATTCATTAGGTGACTCTTAATGGCTTCCACCTCGAAACCCTCAGAGGGAGCCTGCTCGGCATTTGGGCAGGGGTGTCTGTCCGTCTGCCTGTCACAGGTGTGGCTGGGGAGGGGCTCCTGGAGAGTCTCTCACTCGCATATTTCCTCGCAGTGGTGGCAAGTGTCTCTCTCCAGTATCCCCGGGTCTCTGTGAGGCATTCAATTCTGAGTGGCTGTGACATAGGAGGCCCCGTGTTGCTTTTCTTGGCCCGTTTGTGGGCGTGGGGTCTCTAGGGTTTCACTACTTCTCTTCTTGCCTCTGGTCCTGGCTCTGAGTGGCTATTTCTATGCCCTGTCTAGGTTTTCTTTAAAAACACAGATCAGCTCACGTCCCCCCTCTGCTCACAACCCTCCATGGCTCCCATCTCAGGGACAGGACCAAAGTCCTCTCCCTGGCCCAGAAGCTCTCGCACGATTTGGCCCCCCCGTTCCCTGTCTGGCCTCTTCAGTCCCCCTGTCCCCCTGGCTCACTTGGCCCCAGCCACCAGACCTCCTCGCTCTTCCTCACACACCAGACCGGTTCGTGCCTCAGGGTCTTTGCACCTGCTGTTCCCCCTTCCTGGGACACTCTTCCTCACACATCCACTCCCTCTCTTCCTTCAGGCCTCCACGCAGAGGTCACCTTCCCTGACCACCCTATTCCAAAGACTCCATCCCCCTCTCAGGGGGCCCAGCCACTTCACAGATGAGAGGACCAACCCTCAGAGAGGTTAAATGACTTGCCCATCCTCCCCCTGCCGTTGCTGTCGTAACCCAGTAGCCTATAAAAGGGGGACTGAGGAAGGCAGGGAGGGGTCCTCGGAGGGTCCACCCTCCCTGACCTCTCTCTTGGGCGGCCTCCCTTCTCCCAGGAACTCCCACCTCTGTCTGAAAAGTTCTTCTCAGAGTCTAACCCACAGCCTTGCTCCCAACACACACCCACATACGCACGCACGGTCTGGGATCTGGCTCCTTCGGGGGAGGGAGGCAGAATGTTGGCAGAACTTCCCTGAGAGGGAGCGTGTGTGCACGCGTGTGTGTGTGTGTGTGTGTGCGCGCGCGCGCGTGTGCGTGTGTGTGTGTGTGTGTGTGTGTGTGTGTGTGTAGGCGGGGGAGAGGGGTGATCCTTAAAGGGCCACTGCACCATTAGCCCCCTTGGCGAGGCCCCTAATGATACATCTAATTAGCAGCCCCCTAATTAGCAACAACTGAGGCATAATTACAAACCCACCAGGATCCCAAGCAAAGACTCACGCTCTCTTCCCCCTCCTTCCTCCCCAGCTTTCAGGAGAAACCAGGGCCACCTGGGAGTCAAGAATTCAGCTAAAGCCTGGAACTCCTTCTCTCCCAGAAGGGCCGTGGCCTGGGACGTCCAGCCGGTGGGTGTTCCCGTGCCTGCCCTCCTGGCCCAGGGGCCGGGTGACTCAGCCTCATTCAGTCCCTTTTCCTGCAAAACCTGGTTTCCTCTCACTGAGGCCTTAGCGGAGGGGCGGCCAGGGAGAGAAAGCACTAGATAAATATTTGTGGAATGAATGGCCAAGAGGTCTGAGCCCTGTCACAGGGGACAGCTGCACGCCCTCTGCTTGAGCCTCCTGCCTCTGCTGCACGCGTGCTCCCCGGGCAGCCCCGGAAACCTGATCTGGGTTTAGATTGGAGGGGCAGAAGGATCAGGTTGAGGCCGGGGTGGGAGCGGGGAGGGAGGGCAGCCGGCGGCGGGGGCCATCTCTCCCCACCCTCGTGGGCCACCGGCCAGCTGGGTCAGTGGTGTGAGCCCCAGTTCTGCCTCGCACGCCTCCTGGGGCCTCAGAGACCTGATGCGTAGAGTCTGGACTGCCGGGTGGGACCCCCTCCGTCCTGTCCCTCACCGTGGACAGGGGTGATGGTTCGGGGTGGGCAGGGGGTGCCTGACGCCCCTCGGAGGAATGCGGGAGGTGGGGTCAGGGGCCTCTAATTCTAAACACGCACACTCACTGCCAGAGTGAGCTAGGCTCTCCCACCACCATGCAAAGTCCCAGCTTGGGGATCCCACACACACACACACACACATATAGGCTATGATACACCAGCGGGTAAACTGAGGCCCGGAGCAGGAAAGAGCTTGGCCAAGTCCTGCAGCTTCCAGTCAGGGGCGGAGCAGAAACGGAAACTCAAGGTGTGGGACTCCCAACCTGGTGCTCTGTTTAGCCCACCTGGAGCCCCACGCGGGCACCCAAGGACCTCACCCCGTCACCGCGTGGGCTCACACCTCTGCCCTTGCCACTCCCTCCCGCACACCTTCTCTGGGGCCCCCTCCCCTCCGGGAAGGAAGAGGATGTGCTGGCCAGGGACCTCTAGACTCAGAAGGACCCTCTCAGAACCCCCAAGGGGTGGTGGAGACGCTTCTGAGATCCATCCCCACGGAGAGACAGGTCTGAGGCTGGCACGCCATGAGAGGGATGGAGGCGAGACTGTTGGAAGGACCGGCCTGGCCCAACCCAGTACCTCCTGCTGGGTCTGGAGTAGGAAAGGCGCCTAGTGATTGTCAAAAGGATGAATGAGGCAAGAGATGGACACCCGGCAAAAGAGGGATGCAAGTTAGGCTGCAGGCAGGACTGGTTCGGGCTCTCGGAAGAGGAGTGGGGAGGCTGGATTGAAGGGAGCCTGGCTCACCCTCCTTTACGAAGCGTCCAGGTTAGGCTGCCCACAGGACTGGTCTCAGGATGCCAGAAACCAGGCAGGGGAGGGGAGAGGAGCCCTCTCCTCAGGGGAGGGGTGGGGCGGATGCCAGCCCGGAGGGGGGAGGGAGCTCGGCTGAGGAAGGCAGAGGAGTTTGGGGGACTCCGCGCCTTCTGGGGGAGCCCACTCTGCGGGGGGGATCTTCTTCCTCCAGGTGCCCCCCCGCCCCCCGCCAAGGGGCGGAGACAAAGGTGTGTAGGAGGAGAGTTAAGCGGCTCCCAGGGAGAGGAAGAGAAGAGGAAAGGGAGAAACAGGGACCAGATGCCTGGAGCCAGAGATGGGGATGAGAGGGAGACAGGGGTAGCGGGGAGAGAGGGAGACGCACGCGGAGATGGGAAGAGACGGAGACCCGGGAAAGCCGAGGCCCTGGAGAGACGGAGAAAGACCCAGAGATGGCGAGAGAGGAAGGCAGAGGGAAGCCTCGCACGGAGAGACCCAGAACAGACCCAGGCGCAGAGACAGACAGAGAGACGGAGACGGGAGGGAGAGACCGAGAGACACGGGGAGAGACAGGGGAGAGGGACTCCGAGAGGCAGCCAGACTCCGCAGGACAGAGACCCCCGAGCGGGGTGGAGAGACGGAGACGAGACCCAGACACAGGAAGACGGGGGCGGAGGGAGAGAACGCGAGAGGGGGGCTGCCCCGGACGGGGTGGGGTGTTCTCGCCCCCTCGGAGCCCAGGAGGCACCCCCTTCCCCAGCCAGCCATGCTCCCGGGGACGCAGGAGGCTGAGGATGTCGGCTGCTGCTGGCGCCCCCCGCCCCAGGAAGGGCCCTGGTCTCTGCACCCGGGATATGCAGCCCCCTGGTCCCCCCAAGAATCGAGCTCAGGGAAGAGCCGCTCGGGCGCCTCAGACGCCCCCCCCCCCACCCCCGCCTCAGCCCGCCTGGGGTAACACCGTCCTTCCCCCACGCCGCCTCACTGGGGGTCTCTTACCTGCAGCTACAGCCTGGAGCAGGTCCCCCCAGCACTGGGCTGGCCGTGGTGGGCGACTCCGCCCGACAGAGAGAAAGAGAGGGAGAGGGAGAGAGGGAGAGAGAAAGAGAGAGAAGCTGGAGACTGAGAGGAAGAGCCAGGGAGGAGGGGAGGGAGAGGGGATGGAGGGAGGAGAGGAGGAGGGGGGAGGGACACGGGGGAGGGGGAGTCTGCGAGAGAGGAAGGAGGAGGGAAGGGGGAGAGCTCTGGGAGGGAGGAGGAGGAGCCAGCGAGAGAGGGGAGGCGGGCCGGAGGCAGGGGCGGGGCCTGAGAGAGGCGGGGCGGGAGGAGGGGGGAGGAGGGAGCCCGGGCCACCCGCCCACCCTCCGGGTTCAGCACCACCGGCGAGGGACAGCGGCGGAGGGCGCTCGCGCGCACGTGTGTGCCGTGTGTGTGCGCGCGCGCGCGTGTTTTCCGGGGATGGTCATTCAGAGGCACCCCCCCCCAGCACACACAGTCTCTGATCCATAAAAGGGCCAAAGATGCAAAAACAGCTACAAATAGTTCCAGGCTCACAGAACTGAGGGGAGGGCGAGGATGTGGAGCCAGAGTCAGATCCGAACTCACACCGGCAGACACACCCCTACAAAGCAAGCCGGAAACAACCTCAAAGGCACCCACTGATAATAGTAACAGCGGCCATGCCTATGTCCCTTACCACATGCCAGGCACTGCTGTAAAATTTTTTCTAAGTGCTTGACGCACGTTGACACAACCAATCCTCATGACAGCCCTTTGAGGTAGATGCTATTAGCCCCTAATTTTACAGATGGGGAAACTGAGGCAGAGTGGTGAAGTGAGCCTTCAAGCTCTACACTCTGAGGTGCTATATACTACACGATGTCCTGGGCCGGGGAGCTGGCAAGAAGTCACGAAGTAGACAACAGAGGACCAGGGGCTAGCCCAGACGCTGAAGACAGACTTGAGCCCTGAAGTGGACACACACACACACACACACACACACACACACACTCACCTCCCCAGGGTGCACACATGTCCCAGACCCACATCATCACTAAATTCACCCCCAGATCCCACCCCAGGGTCCCACTCCCACCCAGGATGGGAGATGATGGAGCGCCCCCACCCCCAGCAGGCGGGGGGGGGACCCTGCCTGTGCCAAGAGTCCGTACCCACCGCCAGGCCTGGCTGGACACCCTCGGCCGGCTGCCAGGAGGGGAGGGACACGGTCCAGCTCCCTGCAATTTCCCACGCTGGAGCCTGGTTCTGGGAGATGGATGAAGACAGGGGTGGCCAAAAATCGGTGGGCTCCTATCTCTGAAAAACCCACTCTGAGACCGGGGGGCTTGGTCTTCACGGTCAGGGCGGGTGGTCAGACTAACAGGTGGACTTCCATAGTAGGAGGCAGACCCAACCCCTGCCCCAGGAAGGAAGGAGCGCCGCCCCCCCCCCCCCCACCAGTCCCCAGCCTGGATCCCACTGGGAATTCCTCCCTGACCCTCCTGACCTGGATTCTATTCCTGGCCTGCAGTGGGGGAGGGTAAGACGCGTTCCACCGTCTCCGCCCTCCACTGGTCCCTGAGATGAAGGCCTCTGACTCCTCCTCCTGGAACCACAGAAGGGGCCATGGGAGGGGGCAGTTCCCACAGCCACAGGTTGGGGAAGCCAGCCCTGTCCCCATCTTCCCCATTCTCCAATCCTCTGAGCTTTTCAATTAAGTCTAATCTTAGTCCCGTCCAATGCAGTACATCCCAGGCCCTATCTGCCTGGGTCTCGTCTCAGTACTCCTCAACTGGCATCTAACCTCAGCTACTTTCTGCTGGGGTCTAAACTCAGCCCTTGGCACTGGGTCTAACTATAGTACTTTTTGTTAGGGTCCAACCTCAGCATTACTCATAGGGGGTCTAGCCTCAGACCCTCTGCTGCAATGTGACCATGGCATTCCCACAACAGTAATTTCCACCCATAACCTTTCCTCTGAGGCTCAATTTCCTTGTCTTTCCATTGGGGTCTAACCTCAGCTCTCTCCACTAGGGTCTAACTTCAGCCCTTTCCCTTACATTCTAGTCTTTTCCACGGTGGTTTAACTTTGGCCTTTCTGCTAGTGCCTAAGTAACCTCATTTCTTTCCTCTGAGGTCTACACTATGACTTCACCTCAATCCTGCTTCTGGGTCTAACCTTGGATCCCTTCTCCCCACATCCCCCCTCCCTCCACTCTTTCAGGCGAATCCAGCACCCAACACAGAGCCTGGCACACATCAGGCACTCATGAAACGCTTGCCAAACGAAAGAACAAAGACAACTGAAAGTCTGGTTTCTCTGGACATATAAATAATGGTCAGTTGACCAGTTCTCATCAGAAGTGGCAGAGGGGTCGGGTGAGATCATCCCATTTTCAAATGGGGACACCGAGGCACAGAGAGAGGAATGGGTTAGCTGGGGTCACAGGGCACACAGGGGCGGAGCTGGAGCAGGAACTCACAGCCCCACAGCCCTGGGGCTTCTGGAGAGACCACCCCTCCTTCAGGATGCTCCCCTGACCACGAGCAGCTGGAGGTGACTCCCCCAGTGAACCGCTCCAGGCTGGGGCTGGGTGGTGGGTGGGTGCTCAGGGAGCCGGGGTCTCCACAGGCCCTGGACCCACCGCGTCCCCCAGCCTTTGTGGCTGACGTCTCCTCTGCTCCACCTGGTGCCGAAGCCGGGTCAGGACCAGCTCCGAGGCCTGGATCAGGCTGTGCTGTAGGGAACAGGAGAAGCGGGAGGGCGGGGCTGAGGCAGAGCGCGGGCCTGAATGAGACAACCCCGGCGGCCGGGAGCTCGGCCACGGCGGGAGGTCAGAGAACAGACACAGCGTGTGGGGTGGAGACCGGTCTCTGTGACAGGGTGAAGGTTAGACCCAGGGGGACGGTCTTCAGTCAATTTCCAGGGGAGCAAACAGCCTAGACCCAAATGTATGGGTCTGAGGTTAGACCTCGGTGGAAGGGATGAGGATGGATCAAAATATGAGTGAGAGATTGCATTATATGGGAGTGAGGTTTGACCACCGGAGAGAGGCTGAGGTTAGACCACGGTGGGGGAGACAAAGGAGAGACCCTGGCAGAAAAGGACAGGCCAACAGGACAGAGGAGGAGCAAAGCAAAGTGGAGAATGGAGGAATCTACCACCACATGAGAGATGGAGTTAGAGCCTGGTTGGAGGGTCTGAGGTTAGACCCTATTGGAAACGACAGAGAGGAGATCACAGGGGAATGGCTTGAAAGAGACCATAATGAGGGATGACAGGATGGTGAAACCACAGTAAAAGGGAAGTCCTTTCTCCCCTAGTTGGACCACTGCCTCTTCCACTGTGGTCTAGCCTATGCCCTTTCCATTAGGGTCTAACCTTAGACCTCTCCCCTGGGTCTAACCTCAGACCGCTCCACTGGGTCTAACCTCATTCTGTTTTACTAGGGTCTAACCTTTGTCCCATCCACTGTGGTTCAACCTCAGATCTTTTCACTGGGCTCCAACCTGTATCTTTTCTCCTGAGGTCTAACCTAGAGCATTCCATTAGGGAATGGATGGTAGGAAAAGGCGCTGGCAAAGAGTGCAGAAAAGGCAGCAAGGTCAGGCTCCAGGAGAAAGAACCAGGCTAGACCACACAAGAAGAGATCCTGGAGCCAGAGCAGAGGGAAGGAGAAGGCAAAGCCCAGATCAGGCGACAAAGGGAGCTGTCCCTGGCCCAGAGGACCCTGCCCTCCCCCAGTAGGGGTCTCCAGCCAAAGACCCCCTTGCCCGAAAGTGGGCTCAGGCTTCCCATGGGATGCAGCTGAGGCCTGACGGCCCGTGAATCCACCTCCTCGCGTGGCTTCTCCCCTCCCGCGACACGTCCCTGGGTGGACACGCCCCCGAGAAAGCGAGTGTGCAAAAACCCCCAGCGCAGGGTGCGCTCCGAGGCGGCCCAGCCTGAGAACCCCGGCTACCTGCAGGATGTGCACGCCCTTGAGGGAGACCACGGCCAGCTCCCGCAGCCCGTCCCCGGTCAGGTCCACGTGAGCCATGGCCAGCAGCGGGCTGGAGAAACTCCGCCGCCACAGCAGGCGGAATCCGCGCTCGGACTCGGGGCCACAGTACTTATAACAGAGCAGCTCCTGCAGCGGGGGGTGAGGGGTCGGGGTCACATGGGGAGGACGGGGGCGGGGGGCGGTGGAGGGAACAGGCAGTGGCCACCCTACCCCTCAGGTCCCACCTGTCCGTAGGTGGCCACCAGGACTTCTGGCCGCCCGTCCAAATCGACATCGGTGACCAGGGCACAGAGGATGCTGTCAAACTGGTCGCTGCCGGGCAGGAGAAGCTGGTCCTCCAGGCCCCGGCTCAGGAGGTCCCTGAGGGTCCCCAGACACGCTGGTCAGACTGTAGCGCCCACCCCCCGTGGAGCTAGACCCTGGGCCGGGCGCTCCCGTTCTCAGGTCTGGACACCCGCGTCTCCAACCCGGACATCTTCACATCCACAAGGGGAACTCGAATCATTCGCTCACACTGGCAGCACCCTACTCCCTGCTCTGGACACCCACACTGTCCCCTGGGGGCAGGACCCTCCCTCTCCCACATGGAAACCCACACGGCTCCTTCTGGGCATCCAGACACCCTGGTCCCAGCCTGGACCCCCGAGGAGCCTGGACATCTTCCCCGCCCGCCACGGGCGCCACAGCTGGCTCGTCCTGGCCCACAAGAGCCGACTAGGGAGATTGTCAGAAATCCTGCAAGCCGGCTGGTCTCGTGCTGGTGGCTCAAAATTCACCCTGGTGGGTGTATTTACAGCACGGAAACCGGCACGCACCAGGGCTTTCTCGCACACGGAGCCAGGTGATAAGCACCTGCCAGCACACTTTGTCTACCTACTCCCGGAGGAGTGGGCCTCTCGGTCCCCATCCCAAGGCCTCAACATAGCCCTACAAGTTCCAGACTTACACAGTTGCGTTCCCCTTCCTGGATCATGCACACCTTTCCATGCCCAACCCCGAAAAACCTCCCCCAAAAGCACTTTCTGCTGAGCTTGACAAGGTTAGACCACGGCCCGAAGGCATGAGGTCAGACAGCAAGCGTGTGCCCCAGGCCCCTCACCGATACACCACTGCTGGCTCCAACATGCTGGCCACGAGCACGCTGTACTCGTCCTGCTGGGGCCTGTCCTTGGTCTCTGCAGAAGGGATGTAAAGGGGAGGGGGTGGGTCTGAGGGGACAGGGTCCAGGCTCCTCATATCCCACCCCCTGTGGTAAGAGGGATGCAGGAGAAAGACTTGAGGTTGTGCTACAGAGGGAAGGTTAGAGGTTAGACCCTGAGAGCACAACTGAGGTGAGACAGCAGTAGGTGGAATGGGCATCAGACAACAGTTTAGAAAGTCTGAGGTTAGACCACCATAGTAGAAGAGACGAAGGTTAGATGACAGCAAAAAAAAAGTCTGAGGTTAGACCATAGCGGAAGTGGGAAGCCTGAGGTTAGCTCACAGCAAGGAATAGTGAAGAAGCCAGAGGGGAGGATCAGAGGAAGTCACCCTAGGGGTAAAGGTTAGCCCACCAAGAGAAAGGCAGCAGTTCAACTCCAGAATAAGGGTCTAAGGTTAGCCCACCAGGGCGAGTAGCTAGAAGTGAAAATCAAGAGTAGAGGCAAGGGAAAGGGCACACAGGAGGGTGGGCTGGGGAGCTGGACACTCAGGAAGAGGGGGACAAACATGGGGGGGAGCTGGGCCTGCAGAGTTGCCCCACCCCCACCCACCCCACGCCCAGAGCTCACCCTCGGGGGCTGAGAGGCTGAACAGGATCACCCGGGAGATGGGGCCATCCTGCAGGACTGTCCACGTCTGCAGAACCTCTGCGTGGAGGGCGAGGACTCAGGACCCTGCCCCAGCCCTCAGCCGCCCCCCCACGGCCCCCGCCTGCCGCCCCGGCCATCACCTCGACTCCGCTGGTCCACGTGGGCGACACGGACATATCCGCTCTGACAGCCGAGAGCCGAGAGTCGCCGGGATGTGCCGGGGAGGTTGTGGACGTGAAGCCAGAGGACGCTGGTGGGTGGGCGGGGGGACAGAGGGGCCAGAGGGCCATCACTGGGTCCCAGCCCCACATTCTGCCTCCCCAGGAGCATCTACCCGCTCCCTGTAGCCCTGGGATCCCACTGGGCCTGATTTCTCCGAGGTAACCCCCGCTGCCCAATTTCTCTAGTGGTTACTCCCCACCGCCTGATTTCTCTGAGTCCACTTCCCGTTTCCTCTGGGTTCACCACTGTGGACCAACTGCTCCCAAGTCAGGCCCGTGGTCTGCTTTTTCTGAGTTCACCTCCGCTGCCCAATTTCTCTAAGGTCATCCCCACCACCTGATTTCTCTGAGGCTGCCCGTGTCGGTCCCCGCTGGCCTCTCTCGGGGGCTCTCCTACCTGCTGGTGAGGTTCGTGAGCTCCGGGAAGAGGTTTTCCACGGGCTGTTCCTCAAACTGATGCAGCCCCTCATTCTGGGGGAACCAAGCCCCGGCCCCACTTGGAGTCAGAGGCCTCCCCAGGGGTGACGCCAGCAGGGCTGTCCCCACCACGCGCCACCCCACCTCCGGCCCCACCTCACCTCCTTGTAGAGATGAATGGCAGGGTCATTCCCACTCAGGAGAAACACGGTCTCCAGTTGATCCCCGACCTGAACCCTGAAAGCAGAGAAATCTAGCACCCCAGTGTAGCAGAACCTGAGTGTGATGTGTTTTAAAGCCCTCCGCTTGCAAAACTCCTTGTCTGCAAGAACCCTAACATTCTGGGGTCCACCCACTGGATCCTGGGCTAGAATCTCAGAGTCTGAGCTCCTTACTATCCTATCTCCTTGAAATGCAGAACTGGAGAAACGAGCCCTCACGGAATCTCAGAATCACCGAAACTTGGCGAGCTAGAACCTTCCACTTCTAGAGCCCTCACCTACCAGAATCTTCATTCTGGATGTGGATTCAGGAACGGAACACGGAGCTCTAGAACCGGCTGCAGAACCTCAGAACACTGAAACCTCTCTAACCGAGAGCCCGGTGTTCCAGAAGTTCTGTTTTCTGTCTCCTTTGAAATACCAGAACTTTTAGAAATTGCCATCATGGACATGCAGACTCAGAAAATGGTAGAACATCCAAATCCTAGAAGCCAGAATTCTCACCTGCCAGACCAGAGGTTGGCAAACTATGACCTCAGGCCAAATCCTCTCATTTTTTTTTTAAAGATTGGCACCTGAGCTAACATCTGCTATCAATCTTCCTTTTTTTTCCTTCTTCTCCCCAAAGCCCCCAGTACATAGTTGTACATTTTTAGTTGTGGGTCCTTCTAGTTGTGGCATGTGGGACGCCGCCCTAGCATGGCCTGATGAGCGGTGCCACGTCCGCGCCCAGGATCTGAACCAGTGAAACCCTGGGCCGCTGAAGCAGAGCGTGCAAACTTAACCACTCAGCCCCAGGCTGGCCCCCAAATCCTGTTTTTGTCAATAAAGTTTTATTGAAACAGCCTCGCCCATTCATCTACATAGTGCCAATGGCTGTCTTCTCGCTACAATGGCAGACTTGCGCAGTTGTGACAGAGACTGTCTGGTCCCTAACAGAAAAGGTTTGCCAACCACGGCGCTAGACCATTGGTGTTCTAGAATGGAATCCAGAGCTCTAGAAAGGAATTCTCATACTCAGGGTTCTAGAACCTCAGGATTCTATCTCCTTGAAATACGACCAACGTTAGGACTTGATTGTTACAGAACCTCAGAATTACCAAACTGTAGAACTTTCAAGTCTTGGAATCTCGGAGTTGACAATTCTAGAAAACTCGGCATCTCGGGATCTTGGAATGTCCGAATCTAGAACATCAGAACCTGAGACTTCTAGATGTCTAGAACATAGGCATTCAATTAACTCTCAGGTTATCTAGTTCAGGGACGACACAACACTAGCCAAGCCTGGTCCATGGCCGCCTTAAAATGATGCTCTAAAAACAAAACTAGAGTCCGGTTATCTATGGGCAGGTGTGTGGTCTCCAGTTCGCTACAGCATCCCTCCCCACGCACACATACTCATTGTATGACGCCCGCGGCTTACGCACTCTGCATGGCACAGCTGGAAAGGCGTGAACTGGAGCTCCAGGTTCAGGCAGCTCTCTGCAGGGGGAGCACGGGCTGATGTGCACGGGGCCCCGCAGGCCCCCTCCCACCCTCCCCATCCCTCCTTCCTTCCGGGCCACACTTACGGGCAATGGAGTCGAGGTTGTACTCAGAGCCAGGCTCGTAGTCACAGTAAATATTAAGAAAGGGGCTGCCCTTGTCCCCGGAATCCTGGGGGAGGAAACTGGCCTCAGCGGAGAGTAGAGGCGGCAGGAAGGATGCGGGCCAGCCTCCGTGGGACGCACCCCGTGTGCCCGGAGGAGGCAGCGGGTAGGTGGAGGGGGCCTGGGTACCTTGATGAACGTGATCCCCACAACCAGGCCCCGCTTTGGGGGCGACTTGTTGAAGGTGTCGATGGAGACAATCTCGGCGTCCACTGGGAGGGGACAGTTCAAAGTTCGCGTTTCAGGCAGGCTCGTGACCCCAATATCCCCAATCACGGTCACCCCTGACCTCTAGGACTCGGTCATCTCTACCCACCGCAATTACCATGACCTCTGGGTCCGCGTGAGTTCTCACCACCGACACCACGGAATGAGGGATTCTAACCTGAGTCTGAGCAACCTGGAACCCTAACTTCTTCCGGGCCCCTGTTATCCCTGCCCTCTGACCCAGTGCCTCCTGATGTATAACCCTTGACCCCCTCAACCATTGCGGTGACCCGCCTCCGAGCCTCAGGGGCCTTCTCAACACCACGTCCCAGGCCCCCCGGCCCCAGGGCGCCACGCACCGGGGATGTAGTTGAACTGCAGCTCCTTGGCCACAGGCCGGATTTTCTGCCGGAGGTCCTGGTAGCGGAAGCCCAGCACCTTGCCTTTAAGGGTGGCGGCCAGCAGCTCCCCGCGCCCGCCCGCGCCGCCAGCCAGCCCGTACACATTGCTCTGCGACGAGAAGCGCGTGAAGCTGTCCTCGCGCAGCGGGCAAGGCCCCACGGCCACGGCCGCCTCCCCCATCACGCCCCTCAGCCGTGCACCCCCGGCCGCCCCCGCCGCTCCCGAAGCGATCTGGCCCGCCGGCGGCCCGCCCGCCGCGCAGACTGATGACGCAGAGACGCCGCCGCCGCTGCCCTTGACCAAGATGGCCGCCAACCGGGCTGCTTGGGTCACCGCCGATACTTTGCCCCAACGCGCCTGCGCGCTCCTCCCGGTTCCTGTGGAGGGCCAGGGAGGGGGCTGCCGCGAGCGGACTGTGGCCCGAAGATGGGAGGTGGCGGCCCTCGCTGTGGCTTGTGCGCGCAAGGTAAAAATAAGAATCATCATCATAAAACTCACTATAGCCCTCACGTGCCAGGAGCCGTTCTGAGCGCTTTCCATCTGTCAATTTATTTAAAACTCACAAGCCGCCTGGGGCGGGGACTACGACATCTGTTTTAAGGATGAAGGAATTGCGGCACAGAGAGGTAAAGTATTTGTCTAAGATCACACAGCTAGCAAGAAGCAGTCAGTATTGGAGCCCAAAAAAGATAGCTCCATAGTTTATTACTTTGTAAAATGCATTCTTCTTACCCCAAGGAAAAAACATCTGGCTGGCTGTTTTGGCAAATAACCACCTCCTTTATGGAATGCCTACTTTGTGCCAGTCAATGTTGGCCCTGATTATGTCATTGAATCCTCACGACCACCCTATTGTTACCCCGCATGCATTTATTCAGCTTTACTATGTGCCAAGACGTCCTATACAAATTTATCTCAATAAACGTTTGCAACGACCCTGGAAAGAGGTTTATCATCCCATGTAGGGGGTGAAACAGGCTCAAAGAAAGTCCCTTGACTGATACGCTAGTGAGTGGTGGAGACAGGATGCACCCTGGCTTTCTGACCCCGAGGTCTTCAGCGGGGTTCCTGTGTATGCTTTTTTGTCCCTAGAAGGGTCTCAGGGGTTTGGGGACTCTTCTGTACACTTGCATATCGTTTCCAGAAGATGTGAGCTGGCCAACCGTTCTGGCCACCTGGAGTCAGCTCGTCACCCCGGTCCACACAGAAACACGCACTCGCACACGCACACCAGGAGATCCGTGACAGCAGGGACTGGGTCTCCTGTGGCCACAGTCGCACCCCCAGCACCTGGGCGGCAGGGCGTGACATCACGAGAGCACTCTGTAATGTGTGTTAAACCCACAAACCCCGCGAGGCCCTGTGCCCAGCACCTAGCACACCATTCCCTACTGGCCGGGAGAGGAAAGTCCCCCAGGACAGAGTGGGTCTGCAGGGCGGCGAGGAGAGGAGTAGGTGTCCTCTCCAGGGTTCCGGCTTGGTGACCTCCTGAGCTCCCAGAGGGCAGGGCTGGCCGTGGTGTCTGGGGCTGCGTCCCTGTGTCCAGGCCAGGGCACGGCACACGGCAGGTGCCGGGTGAACGCTTGTCGAGTGAAAGAACGTGTGGTGTAGTTCCGCCACTTCTCAAGAAGGTTTTCTCTGGGCTGCCCTCTCCTCACGTGGTCAAGTCTAAACTATGGTCACTGAGTGTGTGTTGAGTGAAGGAAGGAAGGAAGTTGTAGGGTGCAAAGGAGAGAATTGCCCTGTCCAGTGGTTTCCAACCCTAGCTGCACATCTGAATCACCTGTGGAACTTTCAGGACAAAGCAAAAAACAAAAAGCCCCAAAGGGTGAGGAAGCTCGCCAAACCAGTTCAGGGTGTGAGCCAAGCCTGCGCCCCTCCATCCACCTGAAGCTCCCCCGGGCTGGGGGACCGCGGTGCGGGTCCCTGATGGCACAGACTCGGCGCTGACCCCCAGCCCGTGCCGTGGCAGACGTCGGTGATCCAGCTCAGGGCCAGGGGCCCCCGCTGAGCTCCAGAAGGCCAATGTCCATCGATGGCAGCTGGGGAGCCGACGGGACAGAGGAGCAGGGCGGGGGGTCTGCCTCACCAGGGCAAACCTGGGCCTCCCCAGGACTTCTTCCAGGCTCCAGGCTGGATGAAGCGCCTCCCGGGGAGCTGCCCTGCCTCCACCCCGGCCTGTGGCGACAGTCCGCCTGGGCACTGAGCCTCTGCTGTCCCCGCAGGGAGGAGGGCCCGCGCAACGCACTCAGGCTGCTCAGAGGCAGGCCGGCCAACGTGACAGGGTGTGTGGCGGGGTGCGGAGCAGGGTGGCTGAGGGCTCCTGGCACCTCCCCTCCACTCCCCGTACCTACGGGCCCTCGTTCTCTGCCCCGCTGCTTCCTCCTCCCCTGTCCTGCGACAGAAGGAACAAGAGCCACTAGGGCCTCCCACCCTCCTTCCAGGGAAACGTGGACATGGGGTGAGGACGGGAGATTTGGGGGGCCTCTGCCACCCCTTCTCACCCACTGTTGCATCCCATGCTCCAGCCAGCTCTGTGGGGTGGCACTGCCACCTGCTGTCCCAGCCTAGGAACCCGAGGCCCACAGAGCCCAAGGGCCCAGAGGGCGCTCGCTGCATCCAGACAGGTGTTCCCAGACTCCCAAGCCACGCCCGTCCCCACCCCATGGCCCGAGCTCCCCTCCCCAGACCCCTGGCCCCGTCCCCTCTCCGGGCCAGGCTCGCCCTGAGGACGCGCACCCTCCTTTCCCAGAGTGTGCCCAGGACCCGAGGGGCACCAGGAAGGACAGAAGACGGAACGCAGGCCCTGAGGGTGAAGGGGCAGCACAGGTGAGCAGGAAGAGACTCATGCCGCAGTGCTGTTTTTATTTCCTTTCTTGAGCCAGCTGCAGCTTCCGCCCAGCAAGACCCCACAGCACTAGGGAAGGAGCGGAGGGCGGGCGCGGGACGTCCCTCTGAGCTCCGGGCCTGGGGTCTCTCCTGAGAGGTCGGCTGTGGAGGCTGGGGGAGGCTCCTGGTGCGGGGCTGGGGGGGGGGAGCCCACCCCAACAGCGAGAGCACATGTTGGGGCTACCTGTGCTCAGGGCTCGGCTGGGGGACGAAGTGGGGAGACCGAAGGGAACCTCACAACTCAGCTGGTTGGAGGACGGGGGTCAGATGCTGACCCCACCCCCTGGCAGCAGCTACAGCAAATAGGTCTGTGTCAAAGATTGCGTGTTTTGGGGTGGAGAAGGGCACCTTTGGGGGCTTAAATAAAGGGGCAGAGGGCGAGGGATGCAGCGAGAACAGAGAGGCCGCCTGGCTGGCAGGCCCGCCCGAGGCCGAGGCCGCGCTGGGCCCCGCTGTGGCAAGGAGGCTCCGTGTGCAGGGAGGGGCGCGCAGCCAGGCCTCAGGTCCACCACTCCGGGCTCACGTGATCCTTGCTGGAGGGAGAGCGCGGGCAGGAGGGGCCGGGCGAGGGGCTAGCGCAGGTCCTCCTCGTCGCCCTGGATGGTCTTCTTGACGCGGAGCAGCATGGTGGTGAGCCACTGGTCCAGCCGCGAGATGGAGTCGTACTCCTTCACCTGCGACAGGGCACGCGGGGGACCTGCCGGGGCGGCCAAGCCCACGCCGGGCCGAGGCTCCCTCCCTGCCCCCCGGCCGGGAGCTCGAGGGCCCCAGGCCCTGGATTCTCTGGACGTGCCCCGCTGGCCTCGGGCCCTGAGGAGCGAGGGGAGGTGAGGCCCCAGCCAGCCAGAGCGGCTCCCTGTGTCTTCACTAGCCTGGGGTAGGGCTTCCCTCGGGGGGAAAAGAGATTTTGCAGATTAAAGGAAAGAGGTCCAGCCTCCTTGTTTCATGGATGGGAAACTGAGGCCTGCAGATGGGAAAAAGGCCTGTTCCTTGTGCCCTGGGAGGGGGAGGCCAGAGAGGGACCCATGCCCTGTGGTGCCGCCTCCTCTCCCTTCTCCGTGCTTCCTGGCTGAGCTTCCCAAGGCCCCCCATAGGGGCTGTGATGCCTGAGGGGCACCCAAGGAGACACACGCCTGACAGACACGGTCTAGAGGACCAGAGGAGAACTTGAGCTGGACACACCTGGTTCCAGAATGTTCAGAACAGAGTGAGGGAGGGAGAAACCACTCTGTGGGGCGGCTCCCTCAGGGAAGGTGGCGCTGGATGGCGGGGCCCTCCCAACAGCGCCGCTCCTGCCCCCCAGCTCCACTCCCCCTTCCCCTGGAGAGAGGATGACACGACTCGTCTCCCTCCCCATCTGTGCCTGTGGGTCGCCAAAGCGCCCGAGGTGGGACGGCCCTCACCCGCTCACCCGGGGATCCAAGTGGTGCACAGGCCTCGGCCTTCAAGGGCAGACGGATGCGGGTTCGAATCCCAGCTCCGCCCCAAGGCACCAAGGACGAGTGTCCGCACCCCATTTGGCCTCAGGGCCACCATCTTCCAGAGGGCAGAACACACCCTGCACCTCTCGGGGCAACTTGTGAGTGAGGATTCCGGGGTGACTGGAGAGAGCAGGGAGCACACAGCAGGGGCCGCGGCCGGAGACAAAGGGAGAGGCTCACAGAGAGTCTGAGAGGACGGCCACCCCGCCTGCCACTCACCGCCTCAGTGTAGCCATCCACGTTCTGCTCCTCGTGGGCTTCTAGCAACTTCTGTGGGGAAAGTGGCAGGCAGGGGTCAGGACCCAGGCTGGCCCGAGGGCTGCCCTGATCAGATCCACACCCCCATCGGGGTGGGAGAGTCGGGGGCACCCCCATGCTGACGGACAGCAAACAAGGGGCTGTGTTCCAAGTCTGCCCTTGGCTTCAGAAGTGGCTCTCGACCTCCCTGACACAGAACCTCGTGTGTGCGTGCGTGCGTGTGAGTGTGTGTGCGTGCGTGCGTGCCATCACGCGGCCTCCCAGCTCTGGCCCTGGCTCCAGTGCTGCCTGAGCCCTACTGCTCTCACGCTAACGGGACCCCAGGCCTCCAGCTTCCCCATCCACGGCTCCGGCCACCCGCCTCCAGGCCCAGAGGAAGGAGAGGGGTGGCAGGCGCCCAGCACCCACCTTCATCAGCTTGCACTCTCGGGAGTCGGAGAACGCGGGGAACAGCTCTTCGTACTTCTGGACAGCCAGCTGAGCATCGGCGAGGGCAGAGGGAAGGGAGGGGGCAACCTGATCAAGTGGCCTTCAGAGCCGCTGGCCTAGCAGCTGAGGGTACCTGGGCACACCTGGGCCCTGAGCCAGCTCTGCGCCCCTCTCCTAGCCCCCAGTGTCACCTGGCTCTGCGCCTGGTGGCAGAGACAGCTGCGGGCAGAGGAGGGCGGGGGGCCAATGAGAACCCTGCCTCCCCGATACAGCCCCCACGCCAGGCCTGGCGCTGCGCACTTCTCACATGGGACCGTCAGGAGGACCCAGGAGGCTCAGGGGACAGTGACCCGATTTAGAAAGCAGGGACAGACCAGAGGGCAGTGATCCACTCAGGGAACAGGGTAAGCGGTGGGGCAGGGACCTGAACAGCCCAACGCCTAAGCCTGAGCTCTCATCCGCCGTGCCAGGCGCAGGAGCAGGAAATGCCAACTCCGGTGGAGTACCAGCTCCTCCCCTCCGCATTCTCTGCTCCCCCTGCCCAGCCCTGGCCCCTCTCTTGCCAAGAAGCCCTGAAAACGGGTGGTTCAAATCATGGCACTGGGAGTCAGAAAGATCTAGAATCCTGGGCTGCACTTGACTCGCCATGTGGCCTTGAACAGGGACTCTGGTCTCAGCCTCAGGGTCTTCATCTATAAACGGATGAAGGGGAGCCGGCCTCACGGGGCGCAGTAAGGATTCGACACGTGCTCTCACGAAAGAGAGAGCCTGGCACCGAGGGAGCCAGGAGCTGGCAACTCCAATGCTACAGAGACCAGGCAGGTAACATCAGAGACCGAACCGTGCTAGTGCGAACAGGCATTTCCTGCCCGAGGCCAAAGGTCAGGGGCCAGATGTGAGAGAGAGACTTGCCTCTGCTAAGGGGTTGAGGGGTCACTTGGCCTAGTGAGCCACAGTGCGGGGGCGGTGACCCAGGGTGGGGGCGGTGACCCAGGGTGGGGGCAAGCTCAGGTGGGCTCACTGGCCGGGCTCACCTTGGCATTGAGCATGTCAATGCAGAAGTGGCAGAGGGCCGCCTTGAAGAAGTAGTCCTTGGCGCTGTACTTGAGGAGGGGGCTGTCCATGGCGGTGGTCCCCACCTGTGGGCACGTGGAAGCAGCTGTGTGAGCTTGGGTTGGGCAGCCAGAGGGCCAGGTCACTACCAGCACCGGGGAGCAGCAGCTGGAGCTGGGTCTGTGCCCCGGGTGAGGCCTGTGGGGGACCCTGAGGGCAGGAGGCCAGGGACCAGTCCTGGGGATTGGCAACCGCCACACAAGTGACCGAGGGCCAGAGCATGATGGGGCGGTGTTGCCACAGGGCTGAAGCCAGGTGTCCGTGGGCCTCCTGAAGCGCCGAGATGGTGGGAGGCGGCGGCCCTGCTGTCATGCCCGACAGGAGGCTGGCATGTCGGCGGGCCGGGGGCGGCAGGCTGCAGGAACACGGGAGGTGGAGCCCGCCCCTCTCTCCTCCGAGGCCAGCTGCCTGCCTTTCTCTGGGCCAGGCTGAGCCCACCAGGACGGCCCGGGCCCGCCCAGCTCGCCCCGCACAGCAGAGGGGAGCCCGTGCGCCCAAGTCACGCTCCTCCCCGCTCCCGCCATGCTGAGGGGCTGGGCACCCCAGGCCAGCGCAACTCTTCTCGCTCCCACCCGCCTCTGCTTCTTCAGTTGGCCTCGCTCGGGGGCCACGCAGGACGCGCTCTGTGAGGAGTGTGGGAAGGGCTACGTCCAGGGAGAGGGCGGTGGCACCAAGTGGGGCTGTGGGTGGAGAAAGCATCTGGCCAGGCTGAGCAGAGGGCGAGGGCGAGAGAGACGACAGAGGGAAGTGGAAGGAGAGGGAGGGCGGCAGAGGGGCGCTGTGGGACACCTAGGATGGGGCGTGATGCCCTCCGCGGGCAGCAGGGCTCCACTCCCAACCTGTGCCCACCTGCTCGTAGATGTCAATGGCCTTCTGATACTGCTCCAGCTGCGCGGCGTAACCAGCCACCTTCAGCAGACACTTGTTGGCCGAGCTGCATGGGGCAGAGAGGAGACGGGGGCGGTCGGTGGCTGGGCAGGGCCCCAGGGCTGGGGCGGCAGAGGGGAGCCGGGTGCCGGTACCTGTTGGATTCCTCGCCTTTGTAGTAGTCGGCAGACTGCTCGTAGTGGGCGATGGCCTGCGGTATGGAGGGAGGAGAGGGTGAGGGGCCGTGGTGCAGCCCAGGTCACTTGCAGGCCCGCCCTCAGTCTGAGTCCTGCCAGCGCCCCACGCCCCTTCCCAGTACTCAGACCCAGAGGGCTCCCCCAGTTGCTAGCAGAGAGGGACCCTGGTCCCGAGACGGGCTGCCGCAGCCCTGGCCTCTGCTGGCCTGGCAGGCCCTGGCGGCCACTCACCTTCTCGATGTCCACCAGCTCCGTCTCATAGATCTCAGCAATGGAGATGTGGTGCTTGGCTGCGATGGTGAACCGGCCCTGGGTGCGACACGGAATGGTTGGCCTGTGACCAGTGGCGACCTGAATGCCTCCAGCTCAGCCACGCCCCTCCGGTCCCCAAGGCTG